TAGCAGTCTGCTGACCCCTCCCCCAACGATGGGTGGGAAGCTCATGGCAATGTCATTGCTACATCAGTCTTACCTGGCTGCTCAAGCTTTATCTGGTGGCCAGAGGACTCAGTTATGCATGTGCAAGTCCCCCCTTTTAAAGCAAGTGTCCCACACCACACTCTCTCTCTCCCTGCTTTCTGTTGGCCACCAGCTACCCCCCCTTTCTCTCACTTCCCTCAATAAACTCCATGTGGACACTGAGTCTCGTGTTTGTGTTTTATAGGCATTAAGAACAACACTACCAGGGAACTGTAACAGCTCTTAATCACCTTTAGCAAACTAGCAGGATACAAGATAAACTCAAAAAAATCAGTAGCCCTACTTTACTTAAACGACAAAGGGGCTGAGAAAGAAGTCAGAGAAACATCACCCTTTACAATAGTCACAAACAACATAAAGTATCTTGGGGTAACTTTTACTAAGCAAGTGAAAGACCTATATAATAAGAACTTTGTGACGTTAAAGAAAGAAATGAAAGAATATACCAGAAAATAGAAATATCTCCCATGCTCTTGGATAGGTAGGATAAACATAGTAAAAATGGCAATCTTGCCAAAAGCAATCTACAGATCCAATGCAATCCCAATTAAAATCCCACCACAATTCTTCACTGACCTTGAAAGGATAATAATCAAATTTATATGGAAAAACAAAAGACCCAGGATAGCCCAAACAACCCTGTACAATAAAGGAACATCAGGAGGCACCACCATCCCTAACTTTAAGCTCTACAACAGAGCTATAGTTCTGAAAACAACCTAGTATTGGCATAAAAATGGACAAGTACACCAATGGAATTGAATTAAAAATCCTGATAATTAACCCACATACCTTTGAACACCTGATATTTGACAAAACAGCTGAAAGTATACAATGGGAGGAGGAAAGCATTTTCTACAAATGGTGCTGGCACAACTGGATGATGGTGTGTAGAAGACTGCAGTAGACCCATGTCTAACTCAAGTCCAAATGGATCAAAGACCTCAACATAAATCCAGCCACACTGAACCTCTTAGAAGAGAAAGTGGGAGGTACCCTTGAACAAATTGGTACAGGATACTGCTTCCTGAACATAACTCCAGAAGCACAGTCTCTGAGATCGACAATTAATAAATGGGACCTCCTCAAACTGAGAAGCTTCTGGAAGGCAAAGGACACAGTTACTAGACCAAATGGCAACCAATAGACTGGTAAAAGATCTTCACCAGTACTATATCTGACAGAGGCCTGATTTCCAAAATATACAAAGAGCTCAAAAAACTAGTCAACAGAACACCAAACAACCCTATTAAAAATGGAGTATAGAACTGAAGAGAGAATCCTCAATAGAGGAAATGAAAAAGGCTGAAAGACACTTAAGAAAGTGCTCAATATCTTTAGCTATCAGGGTAATGCAAATCAAAACAACTTTGAAATACCATCTTGCCAGAATGGCTAAAATTAGAAACATCAATGACAACTTATGCTTGAGAGGATGTGGAGAAAGGGGAACACTCTTCCACTGCTGGTGGGAGTGCAAACTCATACAGCCATTTTGGAGATCAGTATGGCAGTTCCTCAGGAAAATGGGAATCAGTCTACCACAGGACCCAGCAATCCCCCTCTTAGGCATATACCAAATGATCCACAACCATGCAACAAAGATATGTGCTCAACTATGTTCCTAGCAGTATTATTTGTAATAGCAAGAACCTGGAAGCAACCTAGATGCCTTTTAACTGAAGAATGGATAAAGAAGATGTGGTATATTTATACAGTGGAATACTACTCTGCGGGAAAAAAAACAATGGAATCTTGAAGTTCACAAGCAAGTGGATGGAACTTGAAGAAACCATCCTGAATGAGGTAACCCATTCACAAAAAGAGGAACATGGTATGTACTCGCTCATATATAGGTTTTAGACCTAGAGCAAGGGATCACCAGCCTGTAATTCACACCACCAGAGTAACTAGCAACTAGGATACAAGGAGGATTCTAAGAGATTCATATAAGGTCCCTCACAGAAGGGACAATGGTCAAGATCTGCAGAACATATGGGGAGTGGGGGGGGCAGTAAGTGGAGAGGGAACTAGGAGAAAGAGAAGGAGGAAAGTACGTGGGACTAGAAAGATTGAGTCAGGTGAGGAATAGACAAGAGGAGAGAGAGAGAGAGAGAGAGAGAGAGAGAGAGAGAGAGAGAGAGAGAGAGAGAGAGAGAGAGAGAGAGAGAGAGGAGGGAGCCATTATAGGTTTGAAGAGAAAACTGAACCTAGAGAAATGTCCAGAGACCTACAAGACTGACCCCAACTAACAATTTGAGCAACAGTGGGAAGGCTACCATAATTGCCCTTCCCTGATAATGAGATCATTGACTAACTTATCCACCATCATGGAGCCCTCATCTAGTAGCTGATGGAACCAAAAGCAAACACCCACAACTAGACACTAAACCGGACTGGAATCCAGATGCAGAGGGGAGGACAAGACCAGACTGCAGATATACACAGAGACAGCTGACCTGAACAAGGAGGAGCTAATGGACCCCCAAACTGATAGCTGGGAATCCAGCATAGGACTGACTCAGGCCCCCCCTAAACATTGGGTCTCAGCTAGAAGGACTGAGCAATCTAAGGGACCTCAGACAGTGGAACCAGGATGTAGTCCTGGTGCACAAAAGAACTTTGGGGACACATTCCCCATGGAGGGATACTCCCTTAACCTAGAGACAGGAGAGAAGGCATAGTCCCTACTCCAAATGAGTTGACAGATGCTGATGACCCCTTATTGAGGGCTTCACGTTACATGTGGAGTGGGTGTGGGTGGGAGGGGAGGGGAGTTGGTGGGCATGAGAGGATGGGAGAGAGGGGAACAGGGAGGGAGGGAGGGAGAGAGAGGGCACTGGAATCGATATGTAAAATAAAGATGAAAAAATAAATTATATTTAAGAAAAGTTATAGAGGTCAAAGGAAAATCATAAAATGGTCAGAGAGGATGTAAACTGTTTGCTGTGGGCTCTCATATCTGCAAATACTAAATTCAAAATGAATATTTGGGTTAAAAAATTTGTTCATACAAAGTTAATTCTGTTTAAATGTTCTGTTTATTAACAAATTATATGTACTTATTAAAAGTTCTATCTGTGTTTTCTGGTATAAACATAAGGTTTGTTACAAACATAGAGCTAAAACAAAAAAAAGTTTAAATATTTTTGCTCTCTACTGCTAATAGCAGCCAGTCATTTATGGACATAGCTCAAAATTTATATCTTGTCATTAAATTCAGATAACACTCTTTTATAGTTTTATAGTTATATGTTAAAAATTAAAACTAGTTAAAAGGGTAAAATTAGTAACACTGGGTATTGATAACATAAATTTAATAGTAATCTAGGTGATAATAGTTTTAAAGGCATACAGGGTGCTTTATTTTTGATATTACAATCATTAAAATTTTTTAAATTGTGTTTAAAAACAGGTTTCAAAATGTTTAAATTTATAAGGTTACAGGATATCTGTGCTTATATTATATTGTTAATGTTTGTACTTAAGTCAAAGGGCTAAATTTTAAGATCAGAGCCATAAGCTCCATATACTAACCAAAAGGTGAGGTGCTCATGTTCTTTTCTTATGATACAGTAAGGCAATGCATCTTTGATTTTGCTAAATTTGGTAAGCTTAAACTATTTAGACAGACTGAGTCACATAGATGTTTCATGTTTCCCTAAAAGGATCTTCAATTTAAAATCATTATTTTTAAAGCTAAACCTGACAGTGTAAAGTTCTAGTTTTATAAAAATCTGTTTATAAAAAGTTAAGAAATGCAAGTTACTAGCCATCCGTATAAATAAACTGTTGGTTATAATTAATCTAAGTACTAATGCTAAATACTGAGGATAACCCTTACTCAATTGGCTGTATGTGTTTTCAAAGATTAAGCTTAAAACAAGTAACTGAAAACAAAGTCGTCTATTCAGATCTACCTAGGCAGACTTCTGATACTACAGAGATCTGTAAAATATGGCATTGAAAATGTTAACTAAAAAGCTTATAATATCAGATAAAGAATCTCAGATCCCAGCAATGACCCAAGGTCTCTAAAGAAGATTATGGGGCACCACAGATTGTGATGACGTTGACCAGTGAGCGAGATGCTCAAATGCAGTGCCTGCTGCCAGGCTCAGACTGTGGACAGGCTGCAGGGTACTGGAAAATTGATTGTACCACCTTTGCCTAGAAAAAATAAAGTCAGTCTTTTCCATGTCCCTCTTCCACAGAAAACAAAACAAAACAAAAACAAAACCCTCCCAGACGTAGGCGACAAGATCGACTAACCTGTACCTCAAAACCCACCAGAAGTCTTTTAACTACCAGAGACCCAAGATTGGGCCTTTAAGGTCCATAGAAAAAGTGGGGAATATGATGGAAAATTTAACAATTAGGGCTTATGGCAAGAAGGGAAAACTAGGGAGAATCAGAATTTCTGCCAGTAGACAACTCCTGACTACAGAGTACAGAGCCCACATGCTGTTCTCAGGAGATAAAGAAAAAAAGAAAGAAAAACCCCCTAACCTTGCAGGTGTGCTAATCAATCTTGCATCCATGATGACTTTGTAAAGAAACTTTGTAGTCTACGAAATGTCTGTGACCTTGGAAACCTTGTGAACTGAGACTAGTGGTCTCCAGTCATCAAGCCTCCCTTTCCCTTTTCCCATCACAATTGTAAGCAGGTGCCTTACTCTTCTGATAGAGTGAGGTCCCAGCAGGTTCAATTCTCAGCAATAAAACCCTTGTGCTTTTGCAGTCAGGAGTCACTTCCTTGGAGGTTGAGGAAATCCGTCAGCACAACAGTAGGGACCTTATACCCTGATAACACTCCTGATTGCACCTTAGAAAACCTTCTCATCCCCTTCCCGACATTATAGACCCCATGTCCCCGAGCAGAACTCCCCAGAGCTGGGAAAAGAAGCCAGATTCCTTACCTGCTCTTGCTGCTCATGGCGAATGGGCTGGCTTCTTCACTAGGCTCTTATTTCCTTCTCCAAGGCTGTGAGACTTTCTCTGACTGTGTTGATCAAATGTACCACAACATCCTTAACAGTAGAGAAAAAAAATGTGAAAACGAAAGTGCTTGCTCCACAGCAGTGAAGCAACAATCATAGTTTCCAGAGCTGAGCTAGTGGGAGGGTTTGTCAGGGTTCCTCTGCCAGGGCTGTCAAACATTTGCTTGGAAGAGACCTTTGTCATCATTTACACCATTTGCTGTTTCCACAACTGTCTGTTAGATATGGGTGCTTTTCATATAGTCAGTTACCCTGAAGGTTGGGGGCCCATGTGATCACAATCACCTGAAATGAGGAGGCAGAACACTATTTTATACATCTAGTTACTAAAATAAACCCATGGCTGATTCTTCCTTTAGAACTAGTGAGGGAAAGGCTGTATTTGCTACCCTCTTAAATATCCAGAACCTTCTATCCCTCACTGCTGTCAGTCGGTTCAGTCAGGATGGGCTCTGTGCATTGCAAGGTGATCCAGACCAGTAAAGGTTAATTACTTGGATGTTTTTCTTAATGTATTTTTTTTTACAATTTTATTCAAATTCTTCTATTTTTTAAAACATTTTCGCTTCACTATTCTTGGATCTACTTCAAACTCATTTAGCTTATTTATTTATTTTTTATTTTGCAGGAAATATTTCACAAACACTTGGCAAAAATGACTAAGTCTTGTTAAAACTGTATTTTCCCAGAAAGGATACTCGAGTCAGTTCTCAATAAGGTTTGCTCTGACTGTGGTAAGAGTGGCACAAATCTGGCCTTTGAACTCTGCTTTCATTTTCTCCATCTCTGCTTGTTGGTCACAAAGGTTCTCCCAGCACCCACATGGTGACTCAGAACTGGCTGTAACGCCAGTTCCATAAGTCCTGACAAACTCTTCTGACTTCTACAGACACTACATGCATGTGTACATACATATATGCAAGTAAAATCTCATGCACACAAAACAAAAAAAAAAAAATAACTTCTGTTGAGTTCTGTTTTGAAGCAATTCTAGTCAAGTCTACCGTAGTGAACCAGTGATTGTATTGGAGTTGCTTACAAGAGTATTGATGATGGTTTTCTTACTGGAATATGTGTGGCTGAGACAAAGGCAGCTACATTACTGGGAGGTCCAGTGAACAGTCTCAATAACAATAGCTTCACAGTCCTTATCCACGTCCCTAAGGCCACTAGGCAGGCCAGCACAGTGAAGATCATCCCAGGGACACCTCTCTCCAGATCAAGAAAGTTCTTTCTCATATTTACCTAATAAATCCACACTCACACTCTTTGTCTCTGTTCTTGGGCATGAGTCACTGAAATCAAAGTCTGAAGCCGCTGGCTGAAAGTCACTAGGATGAGCATCTTCCATCACACTGTAACTCTTTTTTTTTTTTTTTTTGGCTCTGTCACCCTCAAAGAAGCCTCATCATTGTAACAAATAAATGATGGCTGTTGGGAGAAGGTGTTTGCATTTTTCTCCTGATGAGATGTGATATTTTCAGTGATGATAGGCTTGTTTCTCTGTCTTCCTCTCTCTGGCTTTTCCCTCTCTCCACCCACCATCTCTTTCACTTATAAAATCAGTGTTTAAGAGGCCATACAGGAGGTCAGACTTGAAGCAGACTTCTAATGAAAGAGACAGACACCTCTGCCTACACTCTGTCAATGAAAAGGTGTGGAGAGGCAGACAAAGCACTCTGCCAAACCACGAAATGAGTGGGTATTTTCTATCACCATCAATATAAAACCCTGAGACACAATATTTTGAGAAAATGGAGAATAGACTCCATCTAACCTCAGCTTTAAAGCCTCGACTTCTAATCCTCTCTGTCAGTTAAATTTTCCCTAAAGGGTCCTATTGTCACTCACTTCCTCTATAGCCAAGGGATCACATCAAACAAACCCTTACAAAAATGGGGCAAAATATAATTGCTGCAATATGTGAAAGTTAAAGCCAAACTACAGGGTGTCTTAATAACTAAACAGTCAAACATAGGAAAGGTTCAGTTACTGGAACTGATATAAAGTCACAAAAGAGAATATGGTTATGCCAGAGGAGTATGAATTTGAGGCCCGGTAGAACCACGTCAGGAAAGGAAGACAAAAGAAATGTGGAAACAGGAGAAAGGAAGCCTGACCGAAGCTCTGTACCAAATGAGGAGGCAGAATTTCATCACAATTGACACTTGTTTGGGCAAAAGCTGCTTGTGGGCAGAAGTTTCTGTTCCACCCAGACCCAAATAAACACACAGAGGCTTACACTAATTATAAACCGTTGGGCCTATGGCTCAGGCTTCTTATTTGGATCACTCTGTCTTAATTATTAACCAACTTATATTAATCTGTCTATCTCCACATTGTCTTGGCTTACTGGTGATGCCCGAGTCTCTTGCTTTCCTGGCAGCTACATTGTGTCTCTCTGGTGACTACTTCTCTGCCTTTCCTCTTCCCAGAATTCTCCTAGTCTGGTAGCCCTGCCTATAATTCCCGCATGGCTACTGGCCAATCAGCATTTATTCATCAACCAATAAGAGAAACATATGGTCACAGCATACAGAAGGACACTTTCCCATCAGCTGCTGACACAGAGTTGGGTTTCTCTGTAGATAATTATGTTAAAGTAATAAGGAACCAGAATCAAGGGCTGAGTGTGACCGATCTTAGACAGGACTCCATTGTCTCCCTAGACATTGCCTGAGAATCTATAAGAAAACTGTTGAACTTTGTTGGTAAGTAAGGGCTCAAGGTCCCTAAAACAATTGGCCACTGCCAATGCTTTTGGTTATCTATTAGAATTAGACAGTAATACACTATTACTGAAAACACCTTACACTCTGGTTGCAGGACACAGAAAAAAGAAGTTGCAAATGACCAGAAAACCTCTTGCCAGCTACCTACAGCTCATTGCGAGAAGCTTGGTGGGAGGCTGGAGGGTGGCGGAGTATCACCAATGGTTACGTTGGTATATGGACCCTTTCTGCTATGATGGATGGTGGAAGTCATTCCCAGCCAGAGGTTCACTGTCTCATGCCCCAGGGGAATAAGAAAAATGGACTAGGAAAAAATGAAAACACATTCCTGAAATTGGGGAGAGGGTGTCCCTCAAGGATGGAATTCTGCCACGCTGCCCTGCTCAGTAAGAACTGTTCAGCAACCTAGATAAGGACTGAGGTTTCTTTGTTGTTGTTTTTATTTTTTATTTTTTTGAGGTTCTTTGTTGGACTTTCATTTATGCTGCTGCCTTTTGTCACACATATTCCTATAAAGTGGCCTTCTAAGTAACTCCAATAAACTCATTGGCCCAACTAAGCTGGCCTTAAGTGATAAAATTTTCTTGGTCTTGCCAACGATGACTAAATATCTGTTCATGTCTCCCAGGAAACATCACATAATATTATGACTTGTGATTAATCATGCAGATAATTGCAATCTTGTTCCTTATTACCTCCAGGGCGTAACCCTCTCAAAAGAGGCCAATGCTAGTAAAAAATATTTTTATGTAAAGGATAGTAAGCTACTATTCTCATACCTATGAAAAACAGCCCAGGACACAAGCCAGGAAGCCTAACTGCTAGATTGGGTTCCATTCCATCTCAGATAGATAATTCTTTCTTTCCTAGAAGCTGCCCTCTGTATTTCTGTCTATGCTGAATATTCTTTTGTGCAGGCATTTGTCTGTAGGGTGTGTATGTACATATTTATGTATGTGTATTTGAATTCATAAGCAGGTACACATGTCCTTGTGTGCATATGTATATGGAGACTTGAGGTTGACATAGCTTGTCTTTTCTTCTTCTTCTCTCTTTTTTTTTTTTTACTAATTCTTGAATATAAGATAATAACCAACTAAAAAATGAAGCAGACTTTAAAATATTTTTATATTAAAATTTAGTAACATTGGGGCTAGGTGTGGTGGCCCAAGTGTTTAATCCCAGCAGTGAACAGACAGAGGCAGGTCAGTACAGCATCAGCCCGAGTTTCTTGGTGAAATCCATTCCTCTGTGTGTGTGTGTGTGTGTGTGTGTGTGTGTGTGTGCGTGTGTGTGTGTGTATGCTTACATATGTTTATAACACTCTTCCTCTCCTCCTCTAATCCTTATACTTCTCAAATTGATTGCCTCTTATTCTTTGTTTTTGATACACACACACACACACACACACACACACACACACACTCACATTCTCTCACACACAGCAGTTCTTTTTTATTTAAATTAGAAACAATCTTATTTTATATATCAATCCCAGTTCTCTCTCCCTTCCTTTCTCCCATAGCCCCCCCCCCCCCACTGACCCCTGCCCCATCCCTCTTCTGCTCCATAGAAAGGGTGAGGCCTTCTATGGAGGAATCATCAAAGTCTGTCATATCATTTGGAGCAGGGCCTAGGTTGGGATAGTATCCCTCTATAGGGAATGGGCTCCCAACGTCCATTCGTTCACTAGGGATAAATGCTGTTCCATTCCTGGGGCCCCATAGATACCAAGGCCTCCTAACTGACACCCATGTGCAGGGGGCCTGGTTCTGTCCTACGCTGGTTTCCAAGCTGTCAGTTTGGGATCCACGAACCCCACCCCCTTGTTCAGGTCAGCAGTTTCTGTGAGTTTCTCCAGCTTGGTTTTGAGCCCTTTGCTCATCACTCCTCCCTCTCTATCACTGGATTCCAGGAATTCTTGCTCAGTGCTTACCACACAGCAGTTTTAAATAAACCATTCTACAGAAAGGAATGTCAACAGAGAAAAAGGCAAAAGAGCAAACATGTCTCATGCACTGATTTGGCACAGGCTGTGCTTTCAAATTCCCTTCCACCCCCCACCACCACCCCATTTTGAGAAATCCCTGTCCTCTTCTCCTATAGGCAGGAACTAAAAGATAATTAGGAGCTTGAGACTGCCCCTTTTCCTTCCTTCCTTCCTTCCTTCCTTCCTTCCTTCCTTCCTTCCTTCCGTCCTTCTTTCCTTCATCCCTCCCTCCCTTCCTTCCTTTTTGTTCAGATGAAATTATTTACTAGGAAAAAATATTTTCAATTTTACCCACACAGTAGCCATCTTCTTTAATATGAAAGATTGCCAAATGATTTTAAGAAATAAGTACTGATGTGATGTCATAGGAAAATCAAGGAAATTTAAACATTGATTCACTCAGAAGTTCAGCAATACTAAACAAGATATCAATTCAAATCCAAGAACACATTAAATTTATATTCTTCTCAAACCAACTTGCCTTTTTTCTGATTGTGTGCTCAGCCAAGGGCAGACTACTGAGGAGGGGGGGGGCTAGGGAGATAGGGCCTAGACTGAGGGGGCCTAAGGGAAAGAGGTCTAGGGGAAAGGGGGCCCAGGGGAAAGGGGTTCTAGGGAGAGAAGGGCTTAAGGGAAAGAGGGCCTAGGGAAGGGAGTGGTCTGATATTCATTTTGGAGACAGTTTTATTTGTTTTGTAACTACAGAATATTCTGTTCTAAAGTCACCTGAAAGATGCTACCAATGACTTCAGAAAGAGACTGAAGGAGGGGACAGCTTATCAAAGAGTGATGTTCTAGAAGATGAGAGCCTCACCTCTGCAGCCACCTTGCCTTGACTACAAGGGCATTTGCAGAGTCTTTCATAGATATTTTATCTCAAACCCAGGTACATGTACCAAGTTAGATCACCAGTCAGTTTTTCACAGGGCCTGGCAATCCCCCTCTTAGGCATATACCCAAATGATCAACATCCATGCAATAAAGACATGTGCTCAACTATGTTCACAGCAGCACTATTTGTAATAGCAAGAACCTGGAAGCAAACCTAGATGCCCCTCAACTGAAGAATGGATAATGAAGATGTGGCACATCTACACAATGGAGTACTACTCTGCAGAAAAAAATAATGGAATCTTGAAATTTGTAGGCAAATGGATGTAACTTGAAGAAACCATCCTGAATGAGGTAACCCAGTCACAAAAAGAGGAACATGGTATGTAATCGCTTATATATGGATTTTAGACCTAGAGAAATGGATCACCTAAGAGTCAGTCTTTGTTTTATGTTTTCCAGGAAGCTTCCTTTTAATTTTGACCACTCCCATAATAGGATATACACAGGGCAAAGGCCAATGCATTTCATCTATGACACAGTAAGTTATTAAGGTGAGCATGGTTTGGGGAGAAAACAGGACAAAGTGATAAAATCACAGTTATCATTAGAGAAGAAGAGAGAAGAAAACTTTTAACTCAGGATGGAGCATCAGTTGTGTCTTAGAAATTCGCCTATTTTCAGAATTTGCTTGGCATGCAGCTGTCTAGAACCATGGTTCTTAGCCTTCCTAATGTTGTGACCCTTTAATACAGTTCCTCATGTTGTGGTGACCACAACCATAAAATTATTTTGGTGATGCTTCATAACTTTAATTTTACTAGTTTTGTGACTCATAATGTAAATAGCTGATATGCAGGATATGTGACCCCTGAAAAAGGATCATTTGACCCTGAAGAGGGGTTGAGAACCACTGGTCTGAGTGTTTATTTGGGGCTGATAAGTGGCACAGGCACCTTTAGGGACAAAGCACTTTAAGCTTGAGGGAAGGCTTACTTCAGACGTCCACATCTTCAGCAGGCTCCTTCTCTCTGTACCCCTCAGTGCTACAAGAGAAATAGCAGGAACTATATTGAGACTCTGTGGGACTCTGATATCCTTACTTCCCCAGAAAATTGTTCAGGAGGTTCCTAGGTTGGACCCTAAGAAATCCACAAGCACCCTGCCCCGATTCTGTAATTGTCACTTCCCTAATAGGAAGTTAGAAAGTTCCTCATGGAGCAATGAGAGACCTCAGCCTGACTGCAGAGCATGAGTACCAGGTGCTGGGTGCCGACGAGGCTGGAAGACACAGTTTCCTCCATCATCACGTCCAGAGTAAACCTCTAGTTCTGGAGATTAGAGTTAAAAATAATAAGCTGTCTCATGACTGTGCTGTTCCAAACGGCAGCATACATGAAAACTATATTCCAAGTCTATGGAAGGGCATTTTAAACAGAATACGGCTCAAAGATCTCTTCACGTGTAATATTTGGAAATTCTTCATTGAAAGCCCTTTATGTGACTGTTGATTCCCTGGCTGGGCTGGGTGGTTTCAGTTTCAAAGCTCTTTGACCCACTGTGAAGATTGCTGGGATTTCCAATACCCTGTTGCTGGGGGGAAGTCCAGAAAGTCTCACAGGACAGCAAGAGGAAAAAATAGAGCCGAAGGAGAATTTCCACCCACACTGCGGTCAAAAGCCGGTAGGAGAGACTGTCTTCTCTTTTCAGTGTTCGCCCCAGCTCTGGAGAGCCCTGGGGTCATAAGCTGGGCAGGGGCGAGAAGGTATTGGTGAGGGTTAATTAATTTCTTAAAAACTACTGTAGATAAGAATGTCTGCTCCTGGGCCTGGGCTGGAACATGGCATTAGACAAATTCTGTGTGCTGTTATCAGGGCAGCTAGTTTCTAAATGTCACTGTTGGGCTTACTTGGAGTAAGAGACCGGGAGACATGCTGCTGAAACAGGGCAGGGCGATGTGCTCCGGGATTGTCTTCCTCTGTGTTCACAGTGGAGGAGTGTTTTCCACATCCTCTCCAGCATGAGCAGTCACTTTTTTTTTTTAATCTTAGCCATTTTGTCAGGAATAAGTTGGAATTTTTTTTGTTGAACATTTCCCTGATGGCTAAGGATGCTGAGCATTTCTTTCGGTGTTTTGGAGCTCTTTGAGATTCCTATGTTATGCATTTTCTCTAAAGAATCTACCCGATTTTTTGACTGGATTATTTGCTTTGTCAATGTCTACTTTCTTGAATTCTTTAGTAGTCCTGAGGATGGAGGCTTGTGCCCAGGAAATTAGCACAACTACATGTGTGGAAGGAATAAACAAACATATTTTAAATGTTCTGGGAATTATCCCAAGGGCATATATCAAACAAGGACACTTCTATTTATAGGGATCATTATTCCTTATATAAGTAAATGAATAAATTAGTCAAAATTACTACAAATAGGGGGTAGAAAATAAATTCTGCACCCTATTTTATTTTCCGCTTAGTGTCTAATTGTTTTTTTGGATTTTATTGGGAACTTACGTTTTTATTTCTTTCAATGTTTTTATTTAGTCTCATACAATTTTCTCATTCTTGTATGTAGCACATTTTGATCATATTCCCTTCTATCTGCCCTCTCTTCTCAAGTATGGATGGGGCTTCAACATCCTCTTCCCCATCTATGATGGACCCAAGACAGATGTGCTCTATCCACTGCAGGTCACTACCACTACTGTGAGTTCAGGAGTAGAGAACTGTGTCATGTCCAGAAGACAGTGTTTCACATTCTCAACTCAGGACTTTTCTGTCCCTCTATCCTGTGTTGTTCCTTGAGTCTTGGGAAATAGTGACCTAGCTTTCCAATTTAGGGCTGAGAATTCAACAGTAGTCAATTGTACTCAAAGTCACTTACTGTCAGCACTTTGTCCAGATGCAAATATCTGTAGTAACTATTCAAAAGGAAGCGTCTCTGTCCAAGGTGGAGAGCATACTAATCTATGGGAATAAGCACAAAAATGTAGAAGGCAGTTTGTCAGTTTGTCAACATTTCCATTTATAGTAAAACAGTGGAAGTTTTGGCCCAAGAGCATTTGACCTAGTAGCCATGAGCCTTGATCACATTTATAGTACTAAGCATGAATTTCCTCTCATGGATCAAGCCTCAAGTCTAATCAACAAGAAGCTGACTATTCCATGCCTGCATAGCACTATTGTGTCAATGGGTATATCATATCTGTGTCAATGGGTATTGGATCTCACAGAGTTTTTAGCATAAAATTTTTGACAAGGAAAAATTTTAGTGCTAAATTGACTGGAATGTTTGAGTAGGAGAGCAGCACAATGATAAATCATTGCTTTGACATTTTACATAAAATTCTTTTTAATAGTTTTATAACTTTCTCAAAAAAATAGGTTTTCACTCACTTTGCTGACTGATACAAACAAAACTAGAGAATTTTAGTTCTTTGCCTTCTGGGTGCTAAAGAATAATTCAAATTAATCCTACTTGAATACAGGAGACAACCCTGAAAAATGGCCTCAGAGACCTACATGCCAGGCCCCACGTGCTTGATTGAGAATGTAAAAGGAAAACTGACACCTAATCAGAAAGCCCTTGAGATTCTGTCAGCCATCACACAGCCTGTGGTGGTGGTGGCCATTGTGGGACTCTACCGCACAGGTAAATCCTACCTGATGAACAAACTGGCTGGAAAGAACACAGGTGAGTGCCTATCACGGTTAAATAAGAATCAGGATAAACAAATAGGCCGAATAGATGTTTATTTAGGGAGAAATAACTTACAACCTAGACAGATGAACACCAGGAAATTCAACCCGATCCTTTCCTGTCCAAGTCACCCCAGCAAGAGAGCTTTTCCCGGCTCTCCCTCCGACTTCCTTCCACAGGTCACTTCCACCCATGGCTCCACCCTCCCAATGGGCGTGGTCAGTGCCACAGAAGGACTATCTCACTACAATTCCCCTTTTAGTCTAAAGAAAAGATTTAGGCTTAATACAAAACTATATACAAAACAGTGAATAACAAGTGTGCTCTAAGAAAAGGAAAATCGAGAACAAAATGACCTACATATCTAGTCCTAGGGTGAAGGCATAATGGAGTTTACAATAGAGTTGTCCTAAGCTGGAAAATGTAAGTCTAGTACCTAATATATCTAACTAGGAAGAGAGAATAATAGTTATGATAGTTTAATCTTTAACCTCATCAAGACCTGAGAAGGAAAATAACAATACTAGAGTAGACAGGAAGTGCGGATGGACAACTTCCAAAAGGTGCAGCAAGGACAGAAACAGCAAGCCACTTGGACAGTCACCCAAGGTCTCACAGCAACGTTGGTACACCCAGTTTTGGCTAAGGCCAAGAGAACTTGACAGACCACAACAATAATAGGGAGGTAGAATGGCTGTCTTACCCTGACTTGGCAAGGTCAAGCAGTCTTTTATATTTGTCTCCCGTAAGCACATAGGACTGTATGTCCAAATCAGTGGTCAAGGTGGGGGCAATTCTTTGCCCAACAGGCCATTAGCTGAGGCAAGAATGAACTCCAGCAGGAGCAACAACAGTGTCCAACATATTTTTGGGAAAGTACACGGTGCTGTCAGGAGCAACAGTGTCTCATGTCAATGGAGTACTAATATTAAAACATTTAAATGCCATGTTGTGTATGTCTATGAAGTGATTGAAGATTAAGCATCTATATCTGACTAATCTCATAGGTACAGGAAACATGAGTGAAGATAATCTGTAATACTCAGGAACTTAGCTAAAAAACTGATTAAAACTTTCCTGAGTAAAGCAGGAACAAATACTTAAACGATATAACTATATACATATACATACATATAAATTCCTAAAATAGAGGTAGAGTAGAAATGTCAAGACAAGAGGTAGAACTATAAAGGGCAGCATGATAAATATCCCAAATTGTATCAATATACAAATGTCTTGAATACTAGAAAAATATACATACATAGAATATGGTAAAAAAATAATGTGCATAAAACATCGTAAGTGGAAAGATTTAACACAATATAAGAATACATAACAATGTAAGCTGTAAAATACTATCTCATTCTTACTCAAATTCTCAAGAAAATAGGCTAATCTACTTATATCCCATCTAAACCATACCTTTCCCAACCATTCCCTATTCCTGTCTAAAAGATAAACTTGAGTGTAAGCATCACCTTCCATACCCAACCCTAAATAACTAAAACCAACCCAAAGACAATGACTATTATCCCAAAATTCCAAGGGTAGGGAAAGGGGGCATCATTATCTTAAGGTTATGGGCATGGTCAGTGCCACAGAAGGACTATCTCACTACAAGTGCCACCAACAAAACTGTCCTGAGTCCCATCTGTCTCCTTACATCATCAGTTTCTGGCATACAAATGTGAAGAATTTAGTATTTCAGCCGCAGTCCCGTTGGTTGGTTGATTGTTTAGTTGCTTCAAATCAAGCTGTCTTCGAACTCATGATTCTCTTCCTTAGCCTCTAGAGTGATGGGGATAAGGCCCTTGCAGCATCACAAGTAGCTCCTAGTTTTCCTCTTTTTTTTTCATTGTACAATATCAGGATTTATTGTTTAGCACCAAATTTCCAAGCCAAATTGCTTTTCTGATTTTGTTGATTTGAATGTTCTCTCTCTGATTTTTGGTTGGTTTGGATAAAGGTTTGTCTATCTTGTTGATTTTCTTGAAAACCAACTCTTTGTTATATTGATTCTTTGTATTGTTTTCCTAGTTTCTACTTTATTGATTTCAGCCCTCAAACTGATTATTTCATGGTGTCTACTTCTCTGGGATGAGTTTGCTTCTTTTTTTCCTAAGGTTTTTAGTTGTGCTGTTAATTCTCTAATGTGACTATCCTTTGTTTTCTTCATATGGGCACTTAGTGCAATGAACTTTTCTCTTAACATTACTTTCAAAGTGTCCCATAAATTCATGTATGTTGTGTCTTCATTCTCCTTGAATTCTAGGAAGTCTTTAATTCTTTCTTTATTTCTTCCTTGACCCAGGAATGGGGCAATTGTGCATTGTTCAGTTTCCATGAGTTTGTAGGGTTTCTTCAATTTGTGTTTTGTTGAATTGCAACTTTAAAGTGTGGTGGTCTGATAAGATACAGGGGACTATTCCACTTTTTTTGTATCAGTTGAGGTTTGTTATGTCGCCTAGTATGTGGTCAATTTTAGAGAATGTTCCATGTGGAGCTGAGAAGAAGGCATATTCTTTTGTGTTTGGATGGAATGTTCCATAGATGTCTGTGAAACCCAATTGGGACATAGCTTTTGTTAGTTCTTTTGTTTCTTTGTTAAGTTTCTAACTGTTGGTCCTGTCCAGTGGTGAGAGTGGGGTATTGAAGTCTCCCACCTTACATGTGTGAGGTTTTATGTGAGTTTTGAGTTTTAGTAGCATTTTTTTTTTTTTTTTTTACGAATGTGGGTGCCTTTGTATTTGGGGCATAGATGTTCAGAATTGAGACTTTGTGGTGATGGATTTCTCCTGTGATGAATATGAAATGACCGTCTTCATCTCTTTTGATTGATTTTTGTTTGAAAGTCTAACTTGTTAGATATTAGAATAGCCACACCTGCTTGCTTCTTGGCTTCATTTGATTGGAAGATCTTTTCCCAACCCTTTACCCTGAGGTGGTGTCTGTCTTTGAATGTGTTTCTTGTATGCAGCAGAAGGATGGATTCTGTCTTTGTATCCATTCTGTTAGCCTGTGTCTTTTTATAGGAGTTAAGACCATTAATGTTGAGGGAAAGTAAGACCATTGATTGTTAAATTTTGTTTGTTTTAGATTTCTTGTTGGTGATGGTATTGTGAGGATATTTGCCCTGCTTTTTCTTTTGGGTACTGGTAAAGTGGGATTATCTATTGTCTATGTCTTTGTGAGTGTAGTTAACTTCCTTGGGTTGGTGTTTTCCTTCCAGAATTTTCTGAAGGGCTGGATTTGTGGATATGTGTTGTGAAAATCTGGATTTGTCATTGAATACCTTTTTTTCTCTGTCTACAGTGATTGAGAGTTTTGCTGGTTATAGTAGCCTGTGCTGGTATCCGTGGACTCTTAGTATTTGTAGAACATCTATCCAGGACCTTGTGGCCTTGAGAGTTTCCATGGAGAAGTCAGGTGTAATTTTGATAGGTCCTTTATATGTTAACTGGACTTTTCCCTTCACTGCTCTTAATATTCTTTGTTTATCCTATATGTTAGGTGTTTTGATTATTATGTGGCAAGGGGGGGTCTTTTTTTTTTTTTTTTGGTCCAGTCTATTTGGTGTTCCATATGCTTCTTGTACTTTCATAGGCATGTCCTTCTTCAGACTGGGAAAGTTTTCTTCAATGCTTTTTCTGAATATGTTTTCTGCACCTTTGAGCTGGTCTTCTATGACTATTATTCTTAGGTTTGGCCTTTTCAAGGTGTCCCACATTTCCTGGAGGTTTTTTGTTAAGGATTTGTTGGATTTAAGATTTTCTTTGGTTGATGAATCTGTTTCCTCTAGTTTATCTTCAGTGCCTGAGATTCTTTCTTGGATCTCTTGTATTCTGCTGGTTATGCTTGCATCTGTAGTTCCTTATCATTTACTCATTTTTTTTCTATTTCCAGCATTCGCTCAGTTTGTGTTTTCTTTGTTGTCTCTATTTCAGGTCTTGAAGTGTTTGTATTGTTTCTTTCATCTCTCTCTCTTTTTTTTTTCTTGTCTTCCCTTACTTTCTATAAGAGTTTTGCTCATTTCTTGTATTTTATGCTTGGTCTTTTCCTCTATTTCTTCCAATTTTTTGTTTGTTTTCTTCCATTTCTTTAAGGGATTTTTCTCACATCATCGTTGAGGACCTCTGTCATTTTTATAATGTTATTTTTTAAGTCATTCTCTTCTGCTTTATCTGGTTTGGTGTGCTGGTGTATAGTCCCTAGATTCTGGTGGTGTTATACTGGTCTTTCTATGTTTTGGTATTTTTTTGTATTGCTGTCTTCCTATTACTCCTTCCAGTGGGTGCAGGTGGAGTTTGTCTCCCTCTTTACCTTACTCTCCCAGTGGTGGTAGGTGGGTCAGGAGTTCAATGTCTGCAACTGTGGATGACCCAAGCTCTCTTGGAGGTCTCTTCTCTGGCAGAGGGCTGGTGATATGGTCCAAAGATTAGGCAAGTGCAGCCTCAAGGTGTTCCTGCATGGATAGGTGGGTCCAGTGTTCTCAGAGCAGGAAGTTCCACAGAGGTGGATGGTTTGTTGGATCCACACTCTGGCCATAATGTTCTAATGGCACATAAAGTGTCAACGTGGGTTCTGAGATTCATGGCATAGTTTTAGCTGTGATGCTGTAGAAAATCAAAATACCAAAAAAAAAAAAAATCAAAATACCAATTACACTCTTCCAACATATGACAATGCAGAATAAAAGTTCCCGTTCCAAAGATAAAAAGGATGGTTCAAAAGACCATACCCAAAAAGAATGAAGCCCAGGAAAAGACTAAACCAAGCTTCACATCCAGCAGCCAGAGTAGGTGGAAGATTCATATAGACTCCAACAGGTGGTTTAGATATGCTGCCATCCATGTCCTCCATCTCAGACTGGCTACACTCAGTGCCTGTAGCTTTTTTCAGTGGATACCACACATCCCGACATCTGCTGCATCCTTGAGTATTAACTGCAGCTTATTCCTCACCTTCATGCTGTATTCACAGCATTCTCAGGAATTCAATCTGCCTCTGCAACTTTGCTGCAAGACTGAGTGGATGTTTGCTTCTTGTATGCTGAATGACTGGAAACTTCTTATCTCTTCTGCTGAAACTTTGGTTTCAGTTAGCTGTTCTCCTGGCCTTGAATATGCTAATTTTATATACACTTCTTGAAATACATGCTACTAGTAACTATATTCCTCTCTTTTCTCTTCTGTGCTTTGCAGGGTTCTCTCTGGGCTCCACGGTGCAGTCCCACACCAAAGGAATCTGGATGTGGTGTGTCCCACATCCCCAGAAGGAAGGCCACACCCTAGTTCTACTTGACACAGAGGGCCTGGGAGATGTAGAAAAAGTAAGAATTGAGGGCTGTTTGCAATTCATACCTTCATGTCTTACATTAGATAGCTTTTAATGTCATTTCATTTATATTTACCTACCAGCTGTCAAAGTTTAGCTAACAGAGTTGAGGAAACAATTTACAAGGACCCTAGAAGTGTAATTTGGTTAATACACAGTGTTCATGGGGCTAACAAGAGGCTAGCAGCAGTAATAAGAATCATTGTAAACGGAAATGCATATAAAATTGTCATTTTCTTTGGAAATTAGCATTCAAATTTGGATCATGAATATTATATAGGTTTTTCTAATTTTTTTTCTAGAAACACTAGGTGATCATACTCTTGTGCTCTGACTTCCAGGGCGACAATCAGAATGACTGCTGGATCTTTGCCCTGGCTGTACTTCTAAGCAGCACCTTTGTGTACAACAGCATGGGAGCCATCAACCAGCAGGCCATGGACCAGCTGCAGTATCCTTTCTGTGATGGAGAGCATAAATACACACACACACACACACACACACACACACACACACACACACACACGACAGAGAGACAGAAGAGAGACAGAGAGAGTGAGAGAAAGTGAGAGTGAGAGAAAGAGAGACTGAAAGACCAAGACTCTTCTGCTAATAGGACAGTGGCCTATGTATCCTGTAGAGTTAAATTATGTATATGTATGTACACACACACACACACACACACACACACACACACACACACACAAAACACACAGATACACACACACACATATTCAAATGCAGAGGGTCATGATAGTGGCAATGTCATACACCAGATGATAATTGGGTCACAGAAAGGCCATACAAAGTGTGGGAATGGATGAGACTAACGAGAGGATTTGGAACAGGTGTATTCACCTTCTTCCTTAGCTTCTTAGTTATGTGGCAGAGCTGACAGATCGGATCAGAACAACATCCTCACCTCATAACAATGGGGTCGAGGACTCAGCTGAGTTTGTGAGCTTCTTCCCTGACTTCGTGTGGACTCTGCGGGATGTGACCGTAATGCTTGAGGCTGATGGGCAAAGCCTCACAGCCGATGAGTACCTGAATAATTCCCTGAGGCTCAAGCAAGGTACCTGGATTGCTATTGAGAAATAGAGAAGATGCATTAATAGTCACTATTTTAATTTCTATACTATTTCTAAGAAGCAGTTTTTGGTATCTGTCTCAATATGTCAATTTCAATGATAGTGTTCCCTGGTGATAGAGACATGTCTATTCTGTGATCAGACTGTTTCGCTCTCCCTCTTAGGTTGTGTAGAGATGCACAGCACCAGAAACATGGATCAAAGGGATCATTTATTAGAAGAAATCCTTAAGCGACACATTAACACCAGGCTAACTATGTGCTTATGTTTTCTTGACTTTCTCCAGGCACCAGCGAAGTAGATAAAAATTACAACCTGCCCCGACTCTGCATCCGAAAGTTCTTCCCCAAGAAGAAATGCTTTGTCTTCTACCCACCCACTGAGTGGAAGAAGCTTTCGGAGCTTGAGAGCCTGCATGATGATGGGTTGGATTCTGACTTTGTGCAGCAGGCAGCAGAATTCTCTTCCTTCATCTTCAGCTCGTCCAAGGCTAAAGCTCTCCCAGGAGGCGTTGAGGTCAATGGAGCTCGTGAGTCTCCTGCCCAGTCCTACTTGATAGCTTTACAGAGTATACTCTGGTGATAACACCTACATACTTCATTTTTGACAGTTTTTCCAAGTTCTAGGTATCCTAAACTAATTTAGGGGTATGAAAATATAGGCTAAAGCAAAGTGGCTCTATCCATATAATTTCTCTACTAATATGTGCTTGCATTGCACAATTTGGCATCCAAAGCCATGTATGTCACTATGTTGTTTAAATGTAAGTTGATTTTAAAGAGTACAGATTCAATGCACATATCTACATTTTGACAGCAAAATTGCTATATAAAACTAGTGCCTAATGACAATGTGAGCCACAGATGCAAAACATTTTGTTTAGCTAAAGTTCTGTTTGACAATAGTGAGGTTAGCTAAATTGAAAATGCACACTTGCTAGCAGGCTTATTCATGCTATGGAAGAGTGTATTAATTATTACTGGACATACTAAGAACTATGGAATATGGAGACTAATTCACTTTCAAACAAATGTCATCACCTGTTTTTCAAATGTAGGGCTAGAGAAACTGGTGCTCACATACATCAATGCCATCAGCAGTGGGGATCTCCCATGCATGGAGAATGCAGTCCTGGCCTTGGCCAAAATAGAGAACCCAGCTGCAGTGCAAAAGGCCATCGCCCACTATGACCAGCAGATGAGCCAGAGGATGCAGCTGCCCACAGAGACCCTCCAGGAGCTGATGGACATGCACAGGACCTGTGAGAGAGAGGCCATAGAAATCTTCCTCAGGACTTCCTTTAAAGATGAAGACCATTCATTTCAAAATGAATTATTGGTAAATTTATGTCATATTTAAGTGGAGAGTGAAATTTATGTCATGTTTAACTGGATGGTGAAATTCAGAATATTATAATGAAATACCATGCATTTATTTTGAAAATCACTTGTTACTAAATGGTAACAGTCATCTTTTAACAATCATTAAAAAGAACTTTCTTATTATGGACTCAAATTATGAAGCTTTTGAAACAAATTCTGTATTTTATATTTGCATACATGTTGTATATTTACAATCCTTTTCCAACTTGCACACATATAAGAGATGATTGGAGGCTCCAGTTTGATAAGATGTCTCCTGTCATCATAATGATTTACTGTCAAACTAAACCAGAGCAAAGAAACTTGGCCAGGCCAATATTGTATCACATGTATTTCCTTTATGGTGGTGATTGGTTTGCTTTGAGATGGAACTATTTCAATCGCGTGTTGTAAAAGTAGGTCTGATTGTGCTAAACACCCTTTAGATGGGCTGGCTGCATGAGAAAATGCAAGATGAGGGGAAAAGACGAGGCTCTGCCATAAGTATGAGGAGTCTTCAAGGAGAATTGCCTCAAGTTCTAGCTTCAACTAAAGCTTTCCTGTTACGCCTGTTTTGCTTCCTATTTTTGGACTAAAGGCCCAGCTAGAAAAGAGGTGGAAGGACACATGTAACGAGAACGTGAAACTATCAACAGACCAGTGCTCAGAGTTACTTCGGAACATCTTCAGGCCTCTAGAAGAAGCAGTGAAAAAGGGTGCTTATTCTCAGCCAGGTGGATATCTTCTCTTTGTGGAGGAGAGAGAGAAGCTGAAGGAAAAGTACCTCAGCGAACCCAGGAAGGGGGTACAGGTAATCAAGCTTTGTCCATTAACACTGAGAGGCTACTGGTGTGCCTGCTTGGAACACCAGTGTGACAGATGGCAGTGAACATGGACGTGGGGTTTGTACACTGGGTGCTCAGTTTCTAAATCAATTAAAAACTGCCAAGGGAGTCCATTAATGACATCAGATGTGTCTGAGTGCTCATCAAAGGCAGTGCATTAAAATAGCATGGATTAGGAGGTAATCCATAGTTACAGCTAGACATTTGATGTTACAAAGGACAGAGGTGCAATGGTAGTGGCTTAAGTACAAATGATACTTCCTGATTTAACTTTCAAGATGGCTTTAAGAGAAACAGGATCTATGAGTTCAAAGGCCATCTTTTCTCTTTACTAGGTGTTACCTTTGCATTCAAGTCTCTCCTGCTCTGTTTCAATTCCTCTAATTTGCTTTTCCCATAAAGGCCTCATTCTTGAGCATCTTCAGCCAACGTGAAACCATAGTTTTAGTGTTTCAAATAATGGAAATGGCTCTTCATTTGAAGAGCAGCAACCTTCTTTGTTTCAATGTCCCTATAACTTCTTACCAGACTCCTTCTAGAAGGTTTCAGAATTGCCTTTGTGGCAGCACATGACAGGAAGACGTGAGCTCCAGAACTACCAAATACAAGCATTGCTTCTTGATGACAAGATGACAGAGACAGACAGAAACAAACACTTATACCATTTCCTTCTATTAACATGTGTTCTTGGGACTTCAAGGCTCAAGTGATTCTGCAGGAATACTTACAGTCCAGTGCAGTTATGGCTGAGGCAATTCTACAGAGAGACCATGCTCTCACAGTAAAACAAAAGGAGATTGAAGGTAAGAACTGGACCAGGAAACTCTATGTACTATCTCTTAAAAAGTTCAACAGTCTCCACTCCATCTGTTGTCATTATACCAGAGCAAGAAGAGCAAGATTGTCTTGGCTTCGGAAGTCATTGCTGAGTTTGGCAAATGCACTCATTAGCATTATGTTTACCACAGAGAACAAGCAGTCCTATGTGGTTCTTTCTATAAAGTCACACATCTTGCTCTTCAGAAGTGGAGAATGAGGAACGAGGTAGTAATTAAAAGGTACTTCTATTTTCTTCCCTTTCCCCTCAGTGGAACGAGCAAAAGCTGACTCTGCACATGCTACTCTGAAGATACTGAAGGAAAGGGAAGAGACACATTTGCAGATGATGAAGGAGAGAGAAAGATGTCACCAGGAACGAGTGAGGCAGTTGACTGAGAAGATGGAGCGAGAAAGAGCTCAGATAGCTGAGGAGCAAGACAGGATTCTGGCCCTGAAACTCCAGGTATCGAGCTGTCAAGCCAGCTTTATCATCCGCTGTTGTCAGTCAAAAGCACAGTCACAGTGTACCTTAATTTTCTCCTTTAATTTTCATGAATTATTACTGCAAATGCATCTCATTTCATTAATCATTGCAGAAAGCCCTCCTGCCAGGGCCACTGAAACATCTATTGGAAATCTGCATGGCCATTTATCTGAGGCAGTCAATGCATTCTCGTCATGCCTTGATAGTGACAATGGTGGCTTCCCTTGACTGCTGTTGTACTAAGGGCAAGTTTGGGTTGACCTTTCTTTCTCTTTTTAAATTAACTTCTCTCTCTCTATTTTACATACTGACAACAGTTTCTTCTCTCTGCTCTCCTTGTGTCCACCCCGCCCCCCTCTCATTTGTCACCCTTATCATGTACCCATGTCTCTGTCCATTCAGAAAGTGTCAGACCTAGGAACCAGCTCCTCCTCCCTCTGTGTAAAGATGGAGCAAATTGATCCAGCATGAGGAACAGGTTACCCCAAATCATATATTCACCAGGGATAGGTCCTAGTCTCACTGCAAGGAGTCTTACAAATAGACCATGCTACACAACTGTAACACACATTCAGAAGACCCAGGTCAGTCCCATGGAGGTTCCCTAAGTATTGGTCCTGAGATCATGAGCTCCCATAAGCTCAGGTCAATTGTGCATTCCTCCACCATGACATTGACACACACCCTCTGCACCACCCAGCTCATACAACCCCTCCTCTCTTCAAGAGGACTCACAGAGTTCTGCATGATATTTGGCTGTAGATCTCTGAATCTGCTTCTACCAGTTATTGGATAAAGGCTCTGAGATGATAATTAGGGTAGTCACCAATCTGATTATAGTAGATGGCCAGTTCAGGTATCCTCTTCACTATTGTTAGGGGTCTTATCCAGGGTCATCCTTGTGGATTCCTAAGAGTTTCCCTGGTACAAATTATCTCCCTAGCGCTCCATCCTGTCCCCTCAAACTGCCTCCTGTAATCAGCCTGTGCATCCTATTTCCTTAGGTTTCCAATATTCCCTACCCCTACCACTGCACCCAGTTTACCCAGGAGATCTCATCTATTATCCCTTCCCAGGGAAATCCATGCATCCCTCTTTGGGCCATCTTTGTTATCTAGCCTTTCTGGGGCTGTGGATTGTAGTTTGGCTCTCTTGTACTTTACTCACTTATGAGTGAGTACATACCATATTTGTCTTTCTGTTTCTGGGTTACCTCATTCAGAATTATTATTTTTTTTTTAATTCCATCCATTTGCCAACAAACTTCATGAGGTCATTGTTTTTTCGAGTTGAGCAATACTTCTTTGTGTAAATGTACCACATTTTCCTTATCTGTTGTTCGGTTAAGGGACATCTAGATTGTTTCCAGGTTCTAGCTATTATGAATAATACTGCTATGAACATAGTGAAGCATGTGTCCTTTTGGTGTGACTGAGCATCCTTTAGATATATGGCCAAGATTGGTATAGCTAGTTCTTGATGGTTTCTGAGAAACCATCGTGTTGATTTGCAAAATAGTTGTGGTTTGTACTCTGACCACACCCTATCCAGCAGAAGCTGTCATTAGCGTCTTTGATCTTAACCATTCTGACAAGTGCAAGATGGTATTTTGAAATTGTTTTGATTTGCATTTCCCTGATGTCTAAGGATATTGAACAATTCCTTAAATGCCTTTCAGCATTTGAGATTCCTCCACCGTGAATTCTCTATTTAGATCAGTACTCCACTTTTAATTGGATTATTTGGTACTTTAATATCTAGTTTCTTGAGTTCTTTATATATTTTGGAGACCATGTGTAGTTGGTGAAGATCTTTCCCCATTCTATAGGATGCTGTTTTGTGTTATTGACTATGTTCTTTACCTTACAGAAGCTTTTCAGTGTTGGGAGGTCTCATTTATTAATTGTTGTTCTCAATGTCTGTGCTACTGGTGTTATATTCAGGAAGTAGTCTTCTCTGCCAATGTGTTCAAGGCTAGTCTCCATTTTCTCTTCTATCAGGTTTAGTGTAACTGTATTTATGTTGAGGTTTTTGATCCACTTGGACTTGAGTTTTGTGGATGGCAATAGATATGGATATATTTCCATTCTTCTACATGCCAACCTCTAGTTATGCCAGCACCATTTGCTGATTATGCTATTTTTTCCAGTGTGTGATTTTTGGATTTTTCTCAAAAATCAGATATTCATGGGTATGTGGATTATTGTCAGGGTCTTCAACCCTATTCCATTGATCCACATGTCTGTTTTTAATGCCAATACAAAGCTATTTTTTATTACCATATATCTATAGTAGAGGTTGAAGTCAGGGACAGTGATACTTGCAGAAATTCCTTTATTGTACAGGATTGCTTTCACTATACTGGATTTTTGCTTTATCACATGAAGTTGAACATTGTTCTTTTGAAGTCTGTGAAGAATTGTGCTGGGATTTTTTTGAATTCTATAGATTGCCTTTGGTAAGGTAGCCATTTTACTATGTTAATCCTACTTATCCAAGAACATGGAAGGTCTTTTCATTTTCTGATATCTTCTTCAATATCATTCTTCAAAGATTTAAAATTCTTGTCATGTAGATCTTTTACTTATTTGGTTAGACTCACACCAAGATATTTTATAATATTTGAGGCTATTGCACAGGGTGTTGTATCTTAGGTTGACCTTTCTAATGTTAATGTTCCCTTGGGTAAAAGTAAATCTCTGAATGAACCAATATAGTCTTGATCATCATAATACTATATTGTCAGTATTTAGGTCGCCAAATTCAGGAATGAGTTTGGCAACCTAAGGGCTACCTCTCTGTCTCTGTCTCTTTCTCTGTCTCTGTATTTCTTTCTTAAATGGTGCCCACAGTCAGGATTTCTAGAGAAGAATCCAAGTTAACAATGGGCCCAGCCTATCTCAGAAGGGAATGAAGAGGATAATGGGTGATGAAAATGACCAGAATTCATTATACATATGTATGGCATTGTTGAAAAAATAATTGTACAACAGAGAACATGTTTTGAAAGCTGATGGTAAGAAGGGAATGAGTTTGGCAACTCAGAATAAATTCATCCATCTTGTTATTCTTGCCGCGTCATGACTCAATTTTATTCTTAGGAACAGAAACGACTGCTCAAGGAGGGCTTGAAAGAAGAGAGTGTAAGGCTTCAGAATGAGATTCAGCTTATGGAAAAGAGAAACAAAGAAAAAGGTACATTGCCTAGGTGTTATTATAATCTACAAATTAAAACAAAAACAAAAACAAAAACAAAAACAGAGCTTTCTCCTATGCACTTTTGCCAGGGCACAACATTAGGAGCAACTTCAGGGTATGAGATGATTCTCACTAAATGAGCATCTCTACTCTTGATGCTTGCATATCTGTTTTGCAATCAAGTTTGTAAAGATGAAGCCCAGGGATGTAACCTTAACAGAACTATTTGTGAAAAGTCCATCACAAGTTGAGATGTACTTTCAATTATATAATCAAGATGCAATTTAAAATAGGGAATTACCTACCGTAATCTATATTACTTTATTATTCCCACCATGCTTTTAGACATCTTCAATTCATAACATTTGTTCAGAGTTTACCTATGCCTTGGGATGAACCTGGAGTGCTATGCATTAAAGGGTGAATAGATGGGACTGAACAATGTCTTTGGGTACAGTTCAGGATCGTGCCTGGTCTGTGACCAATGATCATGAGAAGAAAGTGTCATCTTCCACAAGTTAGGACAGTAGTCTGGCTTTGGTATGTTGACTGTACAAGTTCTTGGCTGGGTCATAGCTACATGGTATATAGCCAGTGATCTATGTCCCAGCCACTGTCAGAGGAATGCAACAGTAAATGTGTTAGAAGTTTAGGTTTATAAAAGCCCTTTGATTAACTACCACAACCCTTTGTATTGTTCCACATAGAATTAAATTACAACAATCTTCCCCCATCCCCCCTCTTTCTTTCTCTCATACACGTGTGCTTATATAGCAAAGGTGCTCTATAGTTCATAAAACTATTAATGAGTAAGTCATAAATGTAGTTAACAGAAGTTGGATTTTTTTCTGGTGAAAAATGTGATAGAATTTTGTTTATGCAATAGCAACAATAATAGAAAGAAGGAACTGGCACACTAATGCTATATTAATTTTCTCGTTCATTTTCCTTCTTGATAGTGCACGAAGAAGCTGAATATGCCCAGGCTGCCATGAAAATGTTGGAGGATATGCACATAAAGGCTCAGAAAGGAGAGAGTCATCAGGAACACACAAAGCAATTAACTGAGGAAAGGAAAGAGGCTCGTGGTGGATGGCAGGTATTCCATCCCACACTATTCACACAGAATAGGCAGGGAACATGAAAAATAACACAAGGTGCTTACTCCATATTTGGAAAGTGGGCTGGCTTTATGTGCAGTATCTCAAATGAGATAACAGGGTGATTGTTGCATTATTGCACACCATTACCTCAGGGTTTCTGTTGCTGTGATAAACACCGTGGCCAGAAGCAGCTTGGAGAGGAATGGCTTATTTCAGCTCACAGCTCTCATGTCATACACTCCATTTTGAAGGGAAGCTAGGGAAGGACTTGAGTTAGGAACCTGAAGGCAGGAAATGAAGCGGAGACCGCAGAAGAGCGCTGTTTACTGCCTTGCTCCATGGCTTTGCTCAGCCATGCTCCATGGCTTTGCTCAGCCTGCTTTCATAAAGACTTCAGACCTCCTGTTCAGGGTGGCACTGCTAATTAGTCACTAATCAACAACTAATCAAGAAAATACTGCACAGGCTTGCCTATAAGGTAATCTTCAGAGACACTTGCTTAATTGTGATTCCCTCTTAGATAACTTGTCAAGTTGACAAGACAGACAAACAAAAACAGGGTAGCCAATCCGTTGTAGAACTGTGTTTTATTCCCCACAAAACAGTAGCACCACCTGAATCTACTGCTGTTTCAGCCAGTAAAGGCAGCCCTTCTCAGGCTGCAGCCTGGAGGGACTTTTACATCCCACTGGATCTGCCTCCTGCTGCTGCCACCAAACGTAGTTTTTAACTAAATCTCTATCTGGTTACCAAAAAAAAAAAAAAAAAAAAAAAAAAAGACTCACCAGTCATCTGCTGGGGTACAAACCTGCTAGTTCAGAGAGGTTGAGGAGCAACAGCCTGACCTTCCGTCTTCACTGGCATCTCAGAAAGACAGCATCACTTCCATCACTCCAAACCAAATGGGACCACCACAATCACTCCCTCCCTACTACTTCCTGTGTGTCTCTCTATATCTATTGTTCTGGACTTCTTCTGACTCTACGATTACTTTCTGTCAGCTAGTTGCTGGCCTCTGTCTCCTGACCCAAGGTTAATTTTATTTAATTAATGTAAACACAAACTTGGGATTCACAGTGTTGTCACGAATCCCTCAACAGAACTGGGCTTAGCCGACCCAGGAGTGGTAAGCACACTGTCCTCCCATGAGGAGATGCTCGCCTGTGCCTAGGGAGGTCAATTTTGACTTGTGGTTAGACTGCCTTTCTCAGGCTTCAGGACCATTCCATACACCCAAGGAGAATTTGGAAACCATGGAAATACATGAGCATTGCTCAATGTTATCTTAGGACACAGGGGCAGACAGGGCCTACTGATGGGCTCTGCTGAGTGCCATTAAACACCTCCCTCACCAGGATGTAATCAATCAACAATTAATGGTGAAACCATCAGACCCTATCATTCTTGTTGGAAGCTGTGTTCTGTCAGCCTAGAAACAAAATAAACACGCTGTGCTTTCTCCGAGCTCTATGACATTCTACCCTGTTCTGTTGGTGGTCTCTGCTTATCTTTTTCCCCTTCTGCTGGAGACCAAATACAGGGGATTGGATACAAATAATCTCCTAGAAATAAATTCCCAACTTCTTCCTCATTGGTTCTTTCTGTGGGCACTTTGTGTAATGGACTAATGTGCTTTAAAAAGAGAGGCAGACGGAAATTTTAAAGAGACAGAAGTCAAAGAAATAGAATATTGCCCACTCATCAAACATTTGATGTTTGATTCAAATATTGGATAAGAAAACATTGTTGCTGTTTTAATGTGTAATTTTCACCAATATGGTTTGATAGAGGCCCAGGAAGCTTCCAGCTTCACAAATGGGAAGCTGTGATGAATGTGCCTTGAATAACCACCATCTGAAGTACGTTAAGGATGTAGTATTGTACTGATAGCCCTTTTGGTTCGACAGGATGTCATGGCATCAGAAACCATGAAGGCCCCCATGTGTCTGGTGGAAAATAGGAACAAGCAGCTATCAGTGAATCCAGGAGCCATTCAGATTCTTAACAGTATTTCTCAGCCTGTGGTGGTGGTGAGCATTGTGGGAATGTACCGTACAGGGAAATCATACCTGATGAACTGCCTGGCTGGACAGAACATTGGTGAGTGTTTCCTGGACAGAGGGCCATTGCCTGAACTCCTTATAGCTTAGGTTCTTATTTGTGATAAGGTCACACATGGGAAAGGCAATCTACCTGGAAAAGAAAAGTAAATCATGGCCTGAAGTTAATGATAGGCATCCATTCTTTTTTCCTTATCTGAGTTCTGTTAATGAAATAACTCATGCTGCTCCTCAAGATCCAATCCAAGTTTATATTAACCTTCTCTTTCTCCACAATTGTAGTTGTGTCTCCTCGCTTTAGAAAAATGCTTTGTTTTCAGTGTGGAATGTGCTTATCACATTAAGGTGACTTTATTACCTAATTGTTTAAATCCTTCTAGGCTCCACATTCCACCGTGAGTATCCCACACCTCATTAACCAATTTTTAAAGTAAAATTATATTCTTTAAATTTATTGGCCACTCCCCCATAGCCTCTATATGTTTCAAGTCACCATTTATTTTAAATTTTAACTTAAACATTTATTTACATATACATTTCTTTATCTGAGTGTGGTTTCAGCTATTCCATACTGGCCTTGAACTCCCTGTTTGACTGGAGATGATGTCGAATTGATTTTCTTTTTTCTGCTGAGGCTTTAAAGCCTGTCTGTTTGGACTTATCCTTGTCATCAGCAGCCGTCACTCCCCTTAACTCAGAAGACTCTCTCCCATTTCCACCTAGGACCCTTACTGACTTATTCTTGAATTTTAAAATAGATGGTAAATGAAGTCAGATGCTTATGATGAAATGGAGACAACCCCATTCTATTTCCAGGGATTTTCTGCTATGTTGAATTAGAACAGTTTCTTAGCTGCCTGGTCTATCTGCTAACATATATTTACATTTTCCTCTTCCTTTCAGGCTTCCCTTTGGGGTCCACAGTACAGTCTCAAACCAAGGGCATCTGGATGTGGTGTTTGCCCCATCCCACCAAGCCAAATCACACCCTCGTCCTTCTAGACACTGAGGGTCTCGGGGATGTAGAAAAGGTGAGTCACAAAGTGAGTGACAGATGAAGTTACTCTTGATTTCTCCCTGTGGTTTAATAATCTCTCACAATTCAACATATAGAGTGTAGTTTTTCTGTCTAGAAACAAAACTGTAGAAGATGAGTTAAACTTGGTGCTTTCAGTCACATTTCTAGAAAAACTAAAACACCAAATATTTGTTAGATAAAGCATTTATTTCTTTTCAAAGAAGTGAGTAATTATACTGTGTTTAATCAATACTCTTTAAGCGGCTCAGTCTTACTCCCTTGGCATTAGCTCTGGGGACATTGGTGAGCAGAGAAAGGGCTCTGCCCTGATGCAGGTGTTCTAACCTTCTGCAGGTGCCCTTAGTCTGCTGCTATTGTTGCATGAGTATTTAAGCAAGGTGGGCTCCCATGAGGGCAAGCATATGGTGGGTATTTATTGGCATAAGCCCCTTGATAAAGGGGTAGAAGGGGAGTAAGGTAGAGGCAAATGAGCACATTCCTAAGACTTAATCAATTCCATGGAAGCCATGTCTCAGAAATGATTCCACTGCCTTGAACTGGAACAACAATTCATTACTGTAAGTTTGCCATGGAGACTTTTCTAATCATCAGACTAACACCTGCAAGGTGTCATTCATCACCACTCACCAGAGTTGTGTGTTAGTACTGCCTGTAAACTCACCACTAATCACAATACGGGCTTCACCACAGCTGATAGGTGTAAAGCTGACCTAAAAGGGAAGCAGAGAGGCAATGATCCATCTCACAAGTTAAGGGAAGACTTGGGAGCTACTTTCTGAGGTACCATGTGAACAGTGCATTTAGAAGTCAGCATTGAGTTTTGATGGCATTTACTATGGATATTTATCATCCACACACACACAACATGCAGCAAGGCTGTAAGACCAGATTTCTGGGGTTTTGTAAAACCAAACATTCTTCGATGAATTTTCAGATATTTTATAATATAAAATAGATTAGGTATTTCTTCTTTTTCTTTTCTTATCTTTCCAAAGTGGAGTTAGGGAGTCTATTTCCCTTTAGAATCATACACCAGACAAACTTATCTTTGCAGTATTTACAGATTGTATTCTTCAGTGCATTTCATATTGTTGATTTTCCTAACTAGTTATGTTTAAATTTTGATATATGGGCAACTTTTTTCACCAAAAAGTCCATGGAGAATTTCCTATGAATAAATTTTAGTTTAGCATTAACTGAAGGGCTCAGGACTAAATTTTAGAAACCATTTACAGAAAATTTCTGGATTATACTATAACTTAGACAATAGTATAATGTATATAAGCATAATTGCCTGACTTTTAAGGTCCATTGTCATCTTGTCTCTGAATTGAGTCCAACCTTTTCCCTACTCTAGTAACAAACAAAGTAGCTTTATGCAGATTGGAGGTATTTCTACAGTATTGATTCTCTGATGGTGCTTCTGTCGGGTTCTACCTCCATGATACCATCAGTCCATCATGTCCTTATCACACCAAGTCTTTAAACACTCCATGGTGGGCTCCCAGAACATCTTAGCAGGTACTATTGGTCCAACTGTCTAAATTGATGTTCTTTCTTGAGACATACTGAATTTAAGGTATGAAGATCTTGCAATCCTTTTATCTATTATTAACAGGAAAGACTAAGTTTGTTGAATTCATCTTACAAATTTATCGTTGCCATTACTGCTGAGAAGTGCTCGTATCAATGGCAGTCGGGGTATACAGCAGGTGACAACTAGTGTTCAGCAGTTTAACCCTCCAGACAAATGACTCTCTTATCAGAAGGCCCCCCTCTTGGAAAAGCTGTGGAGTTACTGACTGTAAATGCCCAGTTGCTCCTGTCTGTAATGTTTCCCATGTGCTGATACTTTTCTTCCATAATAACAGCTATGGGTATTTTTCCCACTGCTTGTGTGTTTATCTCATGAAAATATTCCACTTTGCACATACATATAACTGTGGATGGTCAGGAAGATGGTTTCTATTTAAGCTGTATAATTTGATGAATAGAAATGATATGAAGATACTTTTCATTATTCAGACTGACATAGGGAAGTAATAGTATTTTCAGTCACAAAGACAGTGACTTTTAGACTTAAAAACAAATTCAAAGCAAACTGGTTGCCCATGGAGACGAATACACAGGGACAAATTCCCTGATGTTTGTTGCTGTTTCAAGGTCAGGGTGAAACAACTTTGATAGACATAAACCTCATGCAGGAAGTATATACTCCCTACTACTCAAGATTCAGGTAACCAATTGACTGAGTTTCAATGTAATTTTCTGTCTGGGAACCCTCACCAACTTAGAGCTACATGCATGGTTAAGCATTTCTCACTATCCAGTCAATGTGACCTCCCTAGCCTGAGAAAAACTGTGTGACCTTATCTTGTATTATGAGAATGGTTCAGGCCCTAAAAATGTAACATGTAAGTGTCTAGAGGTCATGTATATAGGAACACTGCTGTGTAGAGCAACGGGGAGTCTGTGTAGAGCTAATTGTCAAGCTATGTAGAACTATGTAGAAGAGCATGAAAGATTTGCAGAGAGAAAAGTTTTTTCAAGATGAAGTCTAGAGAAATTCACCATCAGGTGTGTTTATTTCCTTTAGATAGAGAAGTTTAGCTATCACCACATTCATGGATTTTTTTTTTTCAGTACCCTGGTGCTGATTGCAGGCTGACTCCCCCAGTTGCAATACATTATTTTCAAATTGTTCATGGAATATACAGGCAGTATGATGCACCTAGGTGGCATAGATATGTGCTTGTTGTTTTTAATTGGATACAAGTAGAGTCCTCAGTCATGTCAAGTGTATGGTACAAGGCTCAAATGTATTCTGAATGAATAAGTGCTACTACCTTCCACTGGACATCTAATTTTATTCCAGATACCATGTTGGGTTTTTCTATAGGCACTACATTACTCCATCTCATTGTTAAGGAAGAAAGAAAGAATGAAAAAAATAATGTAAAGAAAAATCACCCACCCACTATCAAGAAAAAGTGATCACAAAAATTGCCAGTGAGATAATTAAAGCTGAAAAGTGTGCTCATCTCCTTAGGGCTTATTCCTCTGCAGAACTAATGGAGTAGTTGAAATAGTAGATGAAAACTCAAGAGAACAGAGATAGGATGAGCTTTAAATGGGAGTTAAGAAGAGTTAGCTCCAAAGACCATCACATGTGTGCCTTCTAGGGTGACCCTAGGAATGATGCCTGGATCTTCGCCCTGGCTGTTCTTCTGAGTAGCACGTTTGTCTACAACAGCATGAGCACCATCAACAATGATGCCCTGGAGAAGCTGCAGTATCCTTCATGGAGCCAAGGCTCAGTCCTCTCCTGAAGAACTTTTGTTAATGAGACTCAGGTGTGGTTGAGCTGCTATTGGTGGATCAGATAGTATAGGAAAGGAAGCAAAAATGTTTGTACTTACTTTTTAAATAAAGGGCTTGTGGGTGTTGTCATTTTTTTTTTTTTTAGTTCCTTTTCCTTAGTTGAGTGCTGGTTATGTGACAAAACTCACAGAGCTCATTAGAGCAAAGTCCTCCCCAAGATCTGATATGACTGAAGATGCTAGAGATTTTGTGAGTTTCTTTCCAGATTTTCTCTGGACTGTACGGGACTTCACTCTGGAGCTGAAGTTGGATGGTCATTGCATCACGGAAGATGAATATCTGGAGAATGCTTTGAAGCTGATTCCAGGTATCAGAGCTTGAACTGGGTACAGAGTATCTTGGTAGGTAGTGGGATCCACTGAATACTGCCCATCATGCCTGGAGTAGCACTGGCATCTGAGGCTAGACTTAAGTCCACAGACATGGGAATGGGGAGTTTGGTTGAAATGCTCACGGTTAGAAATTTAAATTCACTCAAGAAGAGCAGAGCCCAATACTAAGCAAGGATACTGAAGGCTAAGTTGCATTTTATCTTATACATTATAAACAGATGAGGAAAACTTGAAAACTTTTGAAGACTGCGCACTTATTTTTGCCACACAGGCTTCTGCTTTTGTTTGATGAAAATAATTAAATGCTTGTTAGACACAAAATCCAAATAAAAAGTTGTCTATTGGAATAATCGATTTAACACACTAAGTCTATTTTTTCCAAAATAGAAATACAACTTTCTAAAACGTGTACTGGTATATTCTCCATAAAATTATTTGTTTAAATAAACATGAAGGCAACTATCTCCTCAAATAATGGGAGGGATGTGTTGGGGTTCTCTTACCCTAATTACGATATGATCATTGCTGTCATGCACAGTAACATATTCAACTATATACATGTGGCCCTAAGGTAAAAGGAAAGGAAAAATATGACAAGAGAATTGGGAAGGAGAAAGGAGTTGGTGGGAGGGGACGATTACCACACAGCCATTTATAGGACATCTTCAAAAATCAAAATACTCATGCTCAGGAGAACATGGCCAACAAAGCATGACCTAATTAGCATTTATGAGAGTGTTTTGGTCTCACAATGCTTTGTCTAGCATTTTTTTCAACCTTGCAGATCTTTTGCTTATATATTATAGTTCCCAAATTTTTTGTGTGTAGCTTTTCTCTATGCAAAAATGTGTGTCTTCATGGTATCTGTATTTGTTTCTTGTGCTTTTCCTCTGAATCATTTTTTCCTGTTTGCTCATTTTGTCCTATTCCAGTTTGTTTTTTATTTTATCTCATTATTATTGTTACTATATGTCTGTTTGTTTTCTAAGGAGAGGGAGAAAGAAAGGGTATGGATTTGTGTGGGTGTGGAAATGCAAAGGGTCTGAGAGCACCTGGGAGAGAAGAAACTGTAATCAGAATATATTTGTATGAAAACAAATCAATTTCAATAAATTAATAAATAAAAACAATATAAACCATTACCTGCTTGGGATGTAGCTCAGTTGATAAAGTACATGTCTAAGGTGTGTGAAGCCCTAGGTTTGATGTCTAGTGCCTCATAATCCAGGTGTGCTAACACACTCCTGTGGTATCACATTCAGCTGTTAGAGGCAGAAGAATCAAGACCTAAGGGTCTTTTTTGCATACAGAGTGAGTTCAAGGCCAGCCTAGGCTGGGATATTTGAATCTTTGTATAAAAACCAAAACCAAACAAGCTACAAAACCAGCAAGCAAGACTATGACTTATTTTTAACCCATCAGATATGCCCATGGGAATCTTTTTCCTCTTCCTCAGGGCAGAGTCCCCAAATCCAGACATCCAACTGGCCCAGGGAATGCATCAGACAATTTTTTCCCAGGAGGAAATGTTTTGTCTTCGACTGGCCAGTGAGTGACCCACAGCTCTTAACCAAAATTGAGAGTATACAAGAAAGCCAACTGAACCCTAAATTCCAGAAGCAATCGAAGACTTTCTGTTCTCATATCTTCACCTACGCAAGTGCCAAGAGACTCAGAGAGGGAATCCTGGTCACAGGGAATCGTGAGTCACTTTTGAAAGGCTTATGTCTTTGGTTGATCACTACAGGGTGGAGTCTGGATTCTTGAGTAGGATTGGCTGTACTTTTATTTGCTGTGTTATAAGAATGTGGGAATGCAGAAGTTTGTGTTATACATGGAAATCCACACTTTTTTATTCAAGTGTCTCTATTTAGGAAAGAGAGAAATATACATAGTAATGAGGCATATAAGATAATGGTTTCTCAATAAATACATAAAAGATGTTTTATTCTGGATGTTTTGGTACACCCCTGTATCTCAGCTATGTAGGATGCTGAGGTAGGGAGATCTCTAGCTTGATATCAACAAAGTCAATTTATCAAATTGTCTCAAGATAATAGACAAAGGAAGGGAGAGCTGAGGTCAGTGGTGCAGAAAGTGATTACAATGGGCAAGATACTGGCTCAATCATCAGAACCAGGAAAAAAGAAAAAAAAATCTAACCAGCAGGTCAATTATTTCAGTTAACAAAAAGATATAAAACAGAGATATAGACTTAGCTCAATTGGAGGGCACTTGACCAGCATACAAGTAAGGCATACAGTAAGTATGCAATGATTCAATGTTCAAAATCACAAAACATATTAATTAATAAATATAAAGCAGAGATGTGAGGGTAGCTCAGTGGAAGAATGCTCACGTAGCATGCATATAGGATCATAGGTTCAATCCCAGCATCACAGTCCATCAACCAACCAACAAAAGATTTTAGTTGCTTTACATGAGTCAGAAAAAGAAACAGCCAGCTATGACTGCTGTGCATGATTAGTGAAAGAGTGAGAAAGGAAACTCAATCTTCTTTGCAGAGCTGGCTGGCTCTGTGGACACTGAACCTCTGCAGTAGCCCATGCTTGGATGGGTCCCTGCTTCACTAAGCTCTGTCTCACTGCCATGAAACTCAGCTCTACATTTTCATATGCAAATGGGGTTCACAAATTGAAGTTTTTGTTTTTGTTTTATGTAATAGCCCTCTTCATTTGTTTTTATGCAAAAAAAAATGTTCTGGGAATGCTTTGAACACACTGCTTTAATCATTAACTTAAATTTTTAGTGTGGTGAAGAACAATAAAAACCTAATAAAGAAGGTATACAATTGGAATTTTTACACAAAAAATGGATGCCTAGAAGCAAGATGAAGATGGGGACAAGGAAGAAAAGGAAAGGAAGAAAAGAGAACTTTACATTTAGTATCATGGGGCTTTTGAGGATGCAGGCCACCAAAGCCTATAAAATAGGGAGTGAAAATTTTCTAGTGCACCCTAAATATTATATCTCCTTAGGGTTGGGGACTCTGGTGGAGACATATGTGAATGCCATCAACAGTGGAACAGTTCCTTGCTTAGAGAATGCAGTAAAAACACTGGCCGAGCGTGAGAACTCCATAGCTAAGCAGAGGGCAGCCGACCACTACAGACAGCAGATGGCCCAGCAACTGAGGCTCCCAACAGACACACTCCAGGAGCTGCTGGATGTGCATGCAGCCTGTGAGAAGGAAGCCATTGCTGTCTTCATGGAGCACTCCTTCTCTGATGAGCAGTGGAAGTTCCAGAAGGAACTTGTGGTAACATGCCTTAGCATTTGTCCTTACTGGTGCCAGCTCTTCTGCCATAAAGCTCTATGTTTTGATTCCATGCTATATCTTTCCTATCATGAAGGCGCCATGGTTCTTATGGGTAACAGAGTTCTTCTGCACAACTCTATCCTTTTCTCACTTAGATGATTTTTATTTCTTAATAGTTTTTAAAATATGTTTATGGTGTTTTGTCTATTGTATATCTGTGTATTTAAGGTGTGCAGTACCATGAAGACTAGAATGGTACATTGGATCTCCTGTATTGGGAATTACAGATGGTTGGGAGTTCTCATGTGGATGCTAGGAATTGAATCGTGGTCCTTTGGAAGAACAGTCATTGTTCTTGACTGCTGAGCCACCTGTCTAATCCAACTTCATTTTTATTGCTATAGAATAGTTTGGCATGTGCTTAGTGTCATTCAAAAATATACCTATAAGCCACTGTTTTTCAAATCAGGTGCAGCATTAGGTATATGGGTCTCTGCTCAGTGCATCCCAATCTTAAATCCAGGTGTCAAGTAGACTTGGCTCTTGTCTAGAGGATCTGAGCATCCCTTCTGGCTTTAGTGTGTCAGTGAGGCATTCTGTCCTTTCTTTTTTCTCATCTCTGGTATTCCTCCCTATAGTCAACTTTAGACAAGTGATTTTGGCAGGTTCCTATGGTTACATAAGCATCAATTCCCTTTTATTTTTCACCCTTGACAACGTTTAAATATTGAAAATATGCTGGATGTTTTCTTCCTTAGGAGCTTTCAAGACAATAATGTGATATCTGCCAATCAGAGCTGACAAACTGTTATTTCTCTTTAAAGTGTCTATAAATTAATGAGTGTAAGGAGTAGGTTTTCCCCCCACCGGCGATGTGATCCCGCCTCCACGCCTGCCCAAAATAATACACAGAGACTCTGTATTTGATATAATGCTATTGGCCTTGTACTAGTTTCTTATCGGCTAGCTCTGTCTTAAGTATTAACCCATTTCTGCTGATCTATGTATTTTCACGTGGTCTTCTCTTACCGGGGAGCCGGCTGGCATTCTGCTTTCTCCAGACTCTCCATATTGACTCCTCCTTAATACTTCCTCTTTCCTCCTTGTCTCGTAGTCCCTCCTATCTTCCTTTCCTATTGGCCAACAGTGCTTTATTGATTAACCAGTATAAGAAATATATACAGAATGACATCTCCCATCATCTCTTTCTGTCTAAATAAAAAGAAGGGTTTTAACCTTAACATAGCAAAATATATAACACAACAGTTATCAAGTAAGAAACACAGTCAACAATATTTAGTCCATTAACATTTAGCAAGATTAAAAGAAACTATTCTATCATCTATCCTATGTTTGTTAGTCTAAAGTCCTATATGTAACTTATCTTTAAGCCTAACTAAGGAAAACTAAAACCATAACTATCTGTCTTCAACTCCTTCAAAGACCATGGAAGGGTAATATATAAACTCTAGAAATGACAGAGACATCTTGCCTTGTCAGTCACCTGAAGTTCTTCTGTAATCTTCCATCTTCAGCCCATAGGCCATAGTGTGTCTGGCAGACTTTTCAGCAAAGCAAGAAACTTTAAACTGTCTTCTTGTATTGGCAGTTTGTCACTCACTTTTCTCTGTGTCCTGCTGAATATCTGGCAGACTCTTCCATGAAGCAGGAACTCTGTAGCAATGTCCATCTTGAATCAGCAGTCACTTTTCTATGGGTCCTGCATGTCCAGTTTATACAGCATAAAGTCAAACAGTCCAGACAAGAGCAGTATATTGTACAAATGGCTAGTCTTGCCATATTGGAAGCAAACTCCATGATGTGTTTCTTCAATGTCCATCTTACTTTATGATGCAGGTGGTGTTTCCAGGAACATTTATATCTCACTGTCAAGAAAAACCCTAAACCATTTTAAATGCCATATTCTGTAGGTATTTGAAAGGGTTGAAGAATGCCTATATATCTCAAATACATCCCTGCATATCTAGAAAATCTTACTCACCTAACTAAAATTTTGACTATTATAGGTAACTATAATCTGTATTAAATTATACATTCCATTTCTAAATGAGCTATGCAAACATAATATCTAAACAAAAGGAGAAATATACATATCACAAAATTGACCTTAAATTGTATCAATAAATGAAAATCCATTCCAAAACAAAGTATTCATATCTATACCATAATTCCCTTTTTACCTTTAAAAAGAGATTGGTTGTGGCCATTATCCACTTATAACCAACCCCATTTAAATGAAAACAAACATTTATAAACAATATTTGTGAATTTGGGCATCGTTCTTTCTAAACTACTTCCTGCTGATAGGGGGCGCTGTCATGGGCATCCTAAGAGGATGCAGAAATCCTGGCTGTAGTCTGTAAGGCTGCCTTGTTCAATGTAGGAATGTAGGATCACCTGGTACTCTGTTTCAGGGGGTCTGACTTGCTCAGACCACATTAGTCTGAAAGGAATCCACAGCTTTTCATTTTCTGTGGAAACAAAAATAGAAATCCTTTTCCCCAGTAACTTGTCCTTAGACTTAAATTTTGAAGTCAAAGCATTTTTAAAATATATAAACTGAATTAATCCAGCAGTATTTTCTTTAATAGTTGTTTCCTCAGCAGTCTAATGATATAAAGACAATATAATGCCATACAGTAACCATATTATCTCCATCTGTGGCTTTTTTATTATTTTGTTTCTTTTACTTTTACATTTTTTATTTTTTGAGACAGGGTTTCTCTGTGTAAGTTTTATCTGTTCTGGAATTCACTCTGCATACTAGGTTTACTTGGAAATCACAGAGATCTGCTTGCCTCTTTCTCCCAAGTGCAGGGATTAAAGGCGTGTGCCACCATACCCAAATGAGTTTGTGTATATTTAGTGAGTTGACACACTGAAGCTCTTTAAGTTATGACTTCCCTTCTTGGTCAGTAAAGTTCATTTCTCAAAGTTGCTCTGTGCTGTATAATGATGTAGTCACAGGATTCATGACTATCTTATTCTGGGATGATGCAGGATATGGATGACAAGTGAGAAAACTCTTGTGACAGCAGCATCATTCCAATGACCAGAAATGCTGTCATGATGTTTCTCTTTTACACTGTCTTTGACCATTCTGAACGTGACAAACATCATCCATAGTGATAAAAATAGCATGATTGTAACTTATAAGTTTAAATCTTAAAGCTTCAGTATGTTTAACGTCATACCTATACTCTTGTCAAAGGAATTCCTGAAGCACTCAATGCTCTGTTCCTCACAGACCTACTCAGACCTGACAGGTGGATTTGCTGTGCAGATATTTTCACCCACACCAAAGCACATTCTCCAAGGATGCTGTGTCCCCTCTGGTTGAATCCTTATTGTTGATGCACGAACACTCTTCATCCCAGCCCTCAAAGAAGAACACATGCCCATTCATCTCACTTTCAAAGTTTGTGAGCTTGAGGCCAAGGAAATTAAGATTTGCAGCAGTCATTCAGAGTTGACCAGACCAGGGATAAAGCAAGTCCCCAACCCCTCCTCTGTGGGACTGTCACATTGCTTCAACCAGGAATACCACATCAGTACCTTCCTTCTAATAACTTTTTGTTTCACCTTCTCCTACTCACCGGCAGGCCACCATAGAGAAAATGAAGGATGATTTCATACGAGAGAATGAAGCAGCATCTCTCAGTTACTGCCAGGCTAAACTGGAGAAGCTTTCAGAGTCCCTGAAGAAGAACATCTCACGTGGAGATTTCTCTGTTCCTGGTGGGCACAGCATCTACTTAGAAGCAAGGAAGAAGGTTGAGCAGAGCTATTCGCGAGTGCCCAGGAAGGGAGTGAAGGTGAGGAATGAGGGTGGGTGTGATCATACAGCTAGAGTGGGAACATATGCTCCTGGAAACTAAGACAACAGAATCTTCTCTGGAGAGAAATCAGACTTTCTTGTGTCTCGGCCACTCTAATCTTTATAACCACAAAATACTGTATGATACTAAATAACTAGTTACTATCCATTTCCTCAGGAGATTTATAACATAATCCAAATAAAATGTATTGAATAATCTGTTAATTTTTTTATCAGGATATATGTTATTACAGAAATAACTTTATTCTAAGGAAGTGTATGATTTTAGCTAACATGGACAAATGAAGTGTGCTTGCTAAACAGGAACTAGTTATTAAACTTAAAGAGGTAGAGGTAGAAGTAGAGATGATGAAGTTGGTGTTGGTAGTGATGATGATACTGATACTAACATACTGAAGACTCATTTCATAAATTAAGTTAGTATTATCATTCTCATGGGAATACCAATTTAACAAATGACAGAATGAATTAGTTGTTAGTAGTATCTCCACTGTACAGTTGAGGGTGTGCTGGACCGAGGAACTCACAGAGATTTGCAAAAGAAGCTGGACAAGTTCTTTCAGAGTGAAGCAATAACACAGATAAGAGAGGAGTGTGTTGTTCAAATTGGTGTGAGGATATTCAAAGGAACCACCGTGGGTCACTTCTTTAGAAGACAAAGACAGTTACTACAGTCATTGTTTGAGTAGTTCTCTACTTTGAAGGATAGATTAAGCCGTATATTCAATTTCTCTAATGCAAATGCCCTTTATTGCATATAGTCTATCTGATTTTAGTAATATGAATTCTCATTTGTGCATAGGCATGAGATGCTAAGTATGGGTATAGTTCATAAATTTTACTTGAAGGCTAGAGTTTTCCTGATAGCACTGTGCATACACTGAAAGCAACTTGAGACCAGATATATTCCCTAGGATGCATTGGCAGTATACTTGAAGAGAACTTGTCATGGTTAGATTGATTAGAGATGGAGATATTTATACTATTGTTCAGAGAGGAGTGGATGTGTAGACAGTGCTGGAATGATGTGGTAGGGTTTGAGGGGTTGGGTGAGTTGTTTTGAGAGGAGTATGCATGTATAATACACATGGGTAAAGGATCAGATTGGCAAGTACATCATTACAAGACAGGGAGGGATGTATACCCTAAAGCAAATAAGGTCCCAGACTACTAATCTATTCCCTAAATCGGACTGCCCTATATGTGTTTGTGGAACTAGATAGTTGTTTTTGGGTTTTGTTTATTACTCCTTACTATTTTGGCTCTTTGTTCTTCTGGGGGCCCAACCACCCAGCTCCCAAGTAAATACACAGATACTTTTTATTATTTATGAATATCAGCCCTTAGCTTGGCTTGGTCCTTGCCAGCTTTTCTTAATTTAAATTATCCAATCTACCTCTTGACTCTGGGCTTTTTCCTTTTTTTTTTTTTTTTTTTTTTTTTTTTTTTTTACTTCTGTATATCTTACTTTTACTCTTAACTGTGTGGCTGGATGTAGGGCTGGGTGGCTGGTCCCTAGCATGGTCCTCTTCTGGTTCTCTTGCTCCCCGATCCTCTTTTTCTCTTTATATTTATTCTCTCTGCCTACCAGTCCTGCCTATCCTTTCTCCTGCCTTGGTATTGGCTATTCAGCTCTTTATTAGACCAATCAGGTGTTAAACAGGCACAGCTTCATGCAGTTAAACAAATACAACATAAACGAATGCAACTTGTTCACCTCCCCTTCTCTTTCTCCTAACTCCCTCTCCACTCACTGCCCCCCCACTCCCAATATGGTCAGGAGATCTTGTTTGAGTCAGGGGACAAATAGATGAGAGAGAGAGAGAGAGACAGAGAGAGAGAGAGAGAAGGAGAGAGAGAGAGAGAGAGAGAGAGAGAGAGAGAGAGAGAGAGAGCACAACAGAAGGAGCCATTATAGGTTTGAAGAGAAAACTGACTCTAGAGAAATGTTCAGAACCTACAAGGGTGACCCCCAACTAACAATATGAGCAACAGTACAACAGTGGAAAGTCTACCTTAAATGTCCTTTCTGATAATGATAATTAAATTATATGCCATCACAGAGCCCTCATCTAGTAGCTGATGGAAGCAGAAGCAGACACTTATCGCTAAATACTGAGCCAAACTCCTGAAATCCAGTTGCAGAGAGGGAGTATTAAGAAAAGGGGTCAAGACCAGGCTACAGAAATCCACAGATAGGGGGAGCTCATGTACTCCAAGACTGATAGCTTAGAAACCAGCATTGTATCTACTCAGATCCCCTGAACATGGGTGTCATTTAGAAGGCCTGAGCAGTCTAAGGAACCTCTTATAGTGGAAACAGGATGTATCCCTTGTGCACGAAAAGACCCCATGGAGGGATGCTCCCTTAGCCTAGAAGCAGGAGGGAGGGGCTAGACCCAACTCCAAATGACTTCATAGATTTTGATGATCCCTCCTGGAAGGCATCACCCTCCCTGTATAGTGGGGGGGAGCAATGGGATGGGAGGGGGTCAGGGGACATGGGAGGGAGGGAGGGAGAGGGAACTGGGATCAATATGTGAAATAAGAAGAAATTATATAACATATATGTATATATATGTATAATGCAACATGTCTTTGTGTCATTAAACCAATGTTCCACGGCATATATAAATGTAACACATCTTAAAATAATGTTCTATAAGAGAATTGCAAACAATTCTGGTTGGGGCTGATACCTGGAATGGCTAGTAGGAGACACTCCTGGGAAACAAGGTTGAAGAACTAACAAGAACTGTTGCAGAGGGTTTTTTAATCTCAGCAAAGAGAATAGACTTAGGTACAGCAACAGAATTTAAGGATACACGAGGGAATTTAACCAGGACTCAGATAGTGCAGTCAGGTTAATAATTTCACTGAATGATAACTCTTTCATTAAAAGAACACATCTTGTTACTTAAGGTTGTCTCTGTTCTGGTACCCAGGCAAGTGAGGTGTTACACAACTTCCTGAAGTCACTGATCACTACGGAGGACTCCATCTTGCAGTCAGATAAAGCCCTCACTGATGGACAGAAAGCCATGGCAGGTATGCAGGAGGGCTCAGCTCTCAAAGAGTTCATGTAAAGCCCTCTGACATATGGACAGAAAGACCCCTCTCAAAACAAATGATCTCGCCTGCATCCTCTCTAGATCTGAAACCCATAATTCGGGCTGGTGCGGTATGACTAGATGGTCAGTACATTTCCATCACATACAGAATCATGACCACTGATAGGAAGAAGCAGAGAGTTTCTATAGGGAAACAAGGTTGGTCTCTGTGCCCATGAGGGCAACTCTCAGTTCTGAATGTCCTTTCTTCTCTCTCTAAAACCCCTGTGGGACAGACGAGCAGGCCAAGAAGGAGGCAGCTGAAAGGGAACTGGAGTTATTGAGGCAGCAACAGAAGGAGCAAGAGGAAGCAAGGGAGGCTCAGATGAGAACTATTACAGAAAACATGGCCCAGCTGCAGAGGAAGATGGAGATGGAAAAGGAAAACCTTCTGAAGCAGCAGCAGGAGGTGCTGGATCACAAGCTGAAGGTGAGCACAGATGCGGATGGGAGTCATGGTAGACCATAGAAGGAAAAGTGTGACATTGTCAAGGAAATTATGATCCCAGGGAGAGCCCCCAAAGACATGTGATCACGAAAAGCTCAGATCCTCCTAGATCCTGGTGAAGCCCTTAATTCTAAAGTTGCACCATCTTCTGTGGTGTTAGTAATCTAAAGAGAGTTGGAATGAAGAAAAAAACAAACATCCACAGGGCTAGTCTTGTGTATTTTGGAGTTATTTCATTGTACTCCAAATGAAAATACCTCAGCCCATCACCCCTAAGAATCTTAGCACAACTGTCCAGGATATCAGTTTGAAATGATCAGATTAGTCCTCTTAAGAACCAGAAGTCTGATCCCCACAATGTCTGTTTCCAAATCTGGGTGGTGCATTCTACAGAACTAGGGTACAGTGCAGCCTTTCTCCTAACCCAGAGATTGACAGCTCTGCTCTCTAGGCAGCGGTCAGTACCATCATTACTTACAGAGACAGGGTTGGCTCAGCTCAGTGAATCTGAAACTAAATGGCATCGTGCTTTACCCCTAATTTTCAGGGCTGTCCTTGCCCTAAGTCCCCTCCATTCCAGGGAGGGAATTGTAACCAAGAATCAGCCATAACTACTCTCACTCTTCAGGTCCAAAAGTGTGATATTTAGGACAGATTTGTCAAATGCCATTTTTTATTAATGTAGGAAATATGTACACATATGAACAGCTGTCTATATTGTTAACTATGAAATATTAGTAGTGTATATTTAAAAACTGTACCCTATGTTTTTTAGGTCCTAAAAGAAGTACTTCTTGATGGAGTTGAGGAGAAATATGATGATTTAAGAAGAGAAATAAAGCTAAGAGAAGAAGAGATTGAAAACATTAAAAACAGCTCCATTCATAATATCCTTGATATTGCTGGCAATGTATTAACTGAAGCACTCCCTGTGGTGTTAAATATCGGGATGCAGATTCTCAGCTCCTATGTGGCAGGTTGAGGATTCCTGTGAAGTATAATATGAAGGCCTCTCATGTGGTAATAATACTGTTATACATACATTATTGTGTATGTCATCATGGATTTATTCAACAGCCATTTCTAATTAAAGGATTATCAAAGAATATGAGAAACTGACACCTTTCCAACAAAAAAAGAAAGAAAATCAACTAAAATTTTATTGGATAAATAGAAGCCATTGATGAATAAGATGTAGTTAAGTCACAAAGGCAAATTGTCAAACTATAAATTCTCACCAACATGACTGCCCACTAGGAGCTGAACAAATACAACAAACTTGCTAAAGTAGACAGGACAAAGTCCTCTGACCTATACAAGGAACTACAGATAACTTGCCAAAGTAGGCAGGAAATAAGCTACAAGCCCTCTACCCTATGAGAATAACTACAGATAACTAAGGAATGTTGAGAGAAAGAGGAATAGTCTTCCCCAGAGAAGAGGACACTAGTTGGTTTTCCAATATCAAATGACTAGCACTGAAAATATACACACAAGTAACATTATACAGACTGAACAGCTTACATTTAGGAACATATACGTATGCACACTATACATATATGCATGCAATAAAGATTAATGAGAAAAGAGGCCACAAATTTGAAAGAAAGCAAGGAAAGAGTATTGAGAGAGGTTGGAAGGAGGAAAGCAAAGTGAGACATGTTGTAATTTCTTTTCTTTAATTACTTACTTAATTAATTAATTATTTAATATAACCAAGTCCATTTAAATGAAAACAAACATTTATAGACAATATTTGGGAATTTGTGTGTCGTTCTTTCCAAACTACTTCCTGCTGGTAAGGGGCGCTGTCATGGGTGATTTTAAGAAGATGCAGAAATCCTGGCTATAGTCTGCAAGGCTGCTTTTTCCAGCTGTTTTGAATGTAGGATCACCTGGTACTCTGTTTCAGGTGGTCTGCTTGATCAAACCACATTAGTCTGCAAGGAATCCACAGCTTTTCGTTTTCTGTGGAATCAAAAATAGAAATCCTTTTCCCCAGTAACTTGTCCTTGAATGCTTGGAGTCAAAGCATTTTTTTTTTATTTAATTTATTTTACATGTCGATCCCAGTTCCCTCTCCCCCCTCCCTTCCTCCCTTTTACCCTCTCTGCCCTCTCACGTGCACCCTACCCATCCTCCCCTCCCATCCCCCCACCCCAATTCCATATATAGGGGAATGCCATCCAGTTGGGGTCATGTAGATTTGACAGGTCCTGTGAAGTAGGGACTAGGGCTTCTCTTCTGTCTCTATATTAAGGCAGTTATCCCTCCATGGAGGACGTGTTCACAAGGTCCTTTTGTGCATTAGGGATACATCCTGGCTCCACTGTCTGAGGTCTCTTAGACTGCTCAGTCCTTCTGGCTGAGACCCATATTCAGAGGGGCCTGAGTCAGTCCCATGGTGGCTTCCCAGCTATCAGTCTGGAGGCCTGTTAGCTCCTCCTTATTCAGGTAATCTGTCTCTATGGGTTTCTGCCGCCTGGTTTTGTCCTCTCCATCTGCATCTGGGTTCTACTTCGACTCAATGTTTATGTATGGGTGTTTGCTCCTGTTTCCAACAGGCATTAGTTGAGGGCTCCATAGATAAGTTAGTTGTTGATCTCATTATCAGGGAAGGGCATTTATGGTAGCCTTTCCACAGAAGCTCAAATTGTTAGTTGGGAGCAGTCTTGTAGTTCTCTAGACTTTTCTTTGTGTTCAATTTTATCTTCAAACCAATATTGGCTCCCTCTTTTATGTTCTCTCTTTCTCTCTCTCTATCTTCCTGGTTGCATGTGTTTTCCTCTCCTCCCCCTCGTTTTCTCCTACTTCTCTCTTCATTCGCTGTCCCCCTACTTCCCCTGTGCTCTGGGGGACTTGTCCCTTCTCGGTTCTGTGAGGGACTTTATATGAATCTCTTAGAATACACCATGTATCCTAATTCTTCTGGTGTTGTGAATTATAGGCTGGTAATCCTTTGATCTAGGTCTAAAATCCATATATGAGTGAGTACATACTGTTTTTCTCTTTTTGTGACTGGGTTACCTCATTCAGGATGGTTTCTTCAAGTGTCATCCACTTGCCTGCGAATTTCAAGATACCATTATTTTTTTTCTGCAGAGTAGTATTCCATTGTGTAGATGTGCCACATCTTCATTATCCATTCTTCAACTGACAGGCATCTAGGTTGCTTCCAGGTTCTTGCTATTACAAATAGTGCTGCTATGAACATAGCTGAGCAGATGTCTTTGTTGCATGGTTGTGGATCATTTGGTATATGCCTAAGAGGGGGATTGCCGGGTCCTGTGGTAAACTAATTCCCGTTTTCCTGAGGAACAGCCATACTGATCTCCAAAATGGTTGTATGAGTTTGCACTCCCACCAGCAGTGGAGGAGTGTTCCCATTTCTCCACATCCTCTCCACCATGTGTCATCATTGGTGTTTCTAATTTTAGCCATTCTGGCAGGAGTAAGATGGTATCTCAAAGTTGTTTTGATTTTCATTTCCCTGATAGCAATCCCCCTCTTAGGCATATATCCAAATGATCCACATCCATGCAACAACTGCGTGTGTTCAACTATGTTCATAGCAGCATTATTTGTAATAGCAAGAAACTGGAATCAACCTAGATACCCCTCAACTGAAGAATGGATAAAGAAGATGTGACACATCTACACAATGGAGTACTACTCTGTGGAAAAAACAATGGAGTCTTGAAATTTGCAGGCAAGTGGATGAAACTTGAAGAAACCATCCTGAATGAGGTAACCCAGTCAGAAGCAGAGAAACATGATATGTACTCACTCATATATAGATTTTAGACCTAGAGCAAAGGATCATCAACCTATAATTCACTCTGCCAGAGGAAATAGGATACAAGGTGGATTCTAAGAGATTCATGTAAGGTCCCTCATAGAAGGGGGAAGGTACAAGTTCTCCAGAGCACATGGGGATGAGGGGACAGTGCGTGGAGAGGGAACTACTAGAAGGAGAATGGGAAGAGAGGAAAGCACGTGGGACTAAGAAGATTGAGTCAAGGGAGGTATAGGAGACAGCATAAAAGAGGGAGTCATTATAGGATTGAAGAGAAAACTAACCTTAAGAACCTAAAGAAATGTCCAGACACCTACAAGACTGACTCCAACTAACAATTTGAGCAAAAGTGGAATGACTACCATAAATGCCCTTCCCTGATAATGAGATCAACAACTAACTTATCCACCATAATGGAGCCCTCATCTAGTAGCTGTTGGAAACAGAAGCAAACACCACAACTAAACACTGAGCCGAACTAGAATCCAAATGCAAAGAGGGAGGACAAGACCATGCTGCAGAAACACATAAAGACAGCTGACCTGAACAAGGAGGAGCTAAAGGGCCCCCAGACTGATAGCTGGGAAGCCAGCAATGAGCTGACCCAGACTCCCTGAACATGGGTCTCAGCTAAAGCGGACCTCAGACAGTGGAACTAGGATGTATTCCTGGTGCACAAAAGGACCTTGCAGGCACATCCCCCATGGAGGGATTCTGCCTTAACCTAGGGACAAGAGAGAAGTCCTAGTCCCTACTCAAATGACTTGACAGATTTAGATGACCCCTCCTGGATGGCATCACCCTACATGTGGAGTGGGGGGGGGAGTGAGGGGAGGGCGGTCAGGGTACATTTGTGGCGGCGAGAGAGGGAAAGAGGAAGGGAGAGAGGGAGTGAGAGAGGGAAGGAGAAAGGAAGGAAGAGGGAACTGAGATCGATATGTAAAAAAATTTTAAAAAAATGGGTTAACTGGCTTACACTTCTATATTGCTGTTCATTAAAGGAAGCCAGGACACAAATTCAAACCGGGCAGTAACCTGGAGGCAGGAGTTGATGCAGAAGTCAGTCATGAAGGAGGGCTGCTTACTGGCATAGCTTGCTTTCTTATAGAACCCAGGACCACCAGTCACAGGATGGCATCACCTCCAATGGACTGGATCCTCCCGCATTGGTCACTAATTGAGAAAATGTCTTTGAGCTGTATCTCACAGAAGCATTTCCTCAACTCAGGCAGAAATGAGTGAGGTTAGTGGCCTTGGGAAGGAATAAAGCAACAAGGTTGAGAGGAGGCCAATAGTCAAGTGAGATATCAGGATTTCCTAGGAAGGTGATGTGAAAAAAAATGAAGCTTAAAAGAAGGAAATAAATAAAGAGGCTTTTGTGTGAAAAGAGCTCCATGAGCTGGTGTGTTGAAAGGACAGACACAGATCGATCAAAGGTGTGTATAAAGGCATCCTGGGCCTAGGAAGAAGCTGTTGTTGTCCCATGTATTCAAAGTTGCCATCACCTAACTGTTGCATGAAGCTGCTTAGAAAGAAAAGCAACAGGACCTTTCATTTATTCCCAAAGCACAGGTCCAGTCATGGTTTTTCTGTAATAATAAATAAATAAACAATAAATAAATAAATAAAGCGTTGGCCATCATCTACGAGAGCCAGATGAAGAGCCAATGGGGGTTGATCTCAGAGACAAATGAAGGCAGGTGTGATGGCTTAGCTGGGTCGAGGAGCTCAGTTGGCAGTCCCTTATCTGCTTAAAAGAGGGACCAAGCAAGAAGATCAAAGTTGAGAATACAGGCTCTGATAACTCAGTTCCAGGAAGGGAAGAATGTCTTCCTTGATGGTAGGGGTGGTATGCTCGACTGCAGGTAACATCTGTGATTGAGAGCGAGTTTTTGGCGGTTAATGGATAACAGAAAGCCTAGGGACAGGATCCAAAGAAAAGATCCAAGCAAGCTGAAATTCTGTTCTAGTTTCAGGTTCTTTCCAAGTGAAAGCAAAGATATGTGAATCTGGATGTAAAAGAATGGTAAAGAAATCATCCTTAAGGTCGGTGACAGCCAAGTGAGAAGTAGAGGAGAGAATCTGAGAAAGAGTGTGCAGGTTGGGTACCAACACATGGGTAGGGAGGAATGTCGTGATAATAATCCAGAGGAGTTTGACCAGGTGGTAAGAACTATCACACATTAGGATGGGCAAGACTGGAGTGTTATATGGTTGGTAAGTTGGCTTGAGATTACCTTTGTAAGAAGGCATTGTATGTTTTCAGCCTTGTATGTTTTAAGGAGATAGGGTATTCAGAGCAATAGGGTTAGGATGTAGGGTCCTGAAGAAATATCTTAATGGAGGGGTTTGTGCATTTTGTAATTTCATAGGTAAGAAGTATGCAGTGTGTCAAGTCAGGAAACAGGTAAGTACTGCTGTAGCTGGAGGAAGGAAGGGTATAGGTGGTGATCCATGGCTTTAGAAGGTCAGACACTAGTTTCTTACTAAGACACATTGCATTAGTGACAGATCCATGCCTATCCCTCCAAAATAACCACCCTGTGTCTATAAAGACCTATGTGAGCTGGCTGCCTTACACACAGCTTGAGGAAATAACAGAAAATGAGGGTGTTACAGGTCTCAAGGAGGATGATTCCCACTACTTTCAAGCATGGTTTTAAAATGTACATGTACAAAGGTTTTCCAGCCAAGAGAAAAAGAAAAGCTCGGTTTTGGTTTTCACCTTTTTGGTTTTGCTAGACCAAGTGGATTAAGTAAAATTGTCTCAGGCCATCATCTTAAGTGTAGAAATACTAATGCTGGCTGGTGAGAGAAAGGGGTTTGTGTATAGTTTTTATAACTGCCACTATAGAATAATAAGGACTGGAAATCCCTGCAGGTCAATTAAAGGTTGCTAGAAATGGACTGTCCTTCATTTGTTGTTCATGTGTGTCCATATACTGAAGTAAAG